GCAGGAGTTTGAAAAGCTCCTGGGCCATGTGTGAAGATTTACTAACTAGTTTTACGGCATGTGCCAACAGAGCAGAAAGTTGTAAGAACTTTCTCTTGGGATGGAAGAGAATCCTTATTCTTCTTCTACCTAACTGGCCTGGTACTGATGGGTGACATTTTTCATATTCCCCATCTACCTTTGCTACCACCATTCACACTCCCCAAGTGTCCCCCTGTGGACGTGTCCTGCCCAATTCACCAACTCCAAAGTGACTCCCACCCTACCACACCTAATAGATAGCCTCAGCCAGGACCAGTGCTCCCCTCCCAAGACATTTCCACCTTGTCACACCCGGTGGACATCTACCCTACCAAAGCAACTCACTCCTGGACAGGGGTAGCCATGCCCGCCAGTGCACCTACAATAGTCTGAGCTGGGTTTTGCAGCTAACCACACCAAGGACCAGCCCCACCCATCAGTGCCCTCTCAGCATCAATAAATGAAACAGAGAACAGAAAAAATAGAAAATAACAATGAAACTAAGAGCTAGTTCTTTGAAAAGACAAAACTGATAAAAGTTTAACTAGACTCATCCAGAAAAAGAGAGGGCCCAAATAAATAAAATCAGAAATGAAAGAGAAGTTACAACCAACACCCTGGAAATACAAAGGATTATATTAAAAAAAAAAAACCTAGTACAAACAATTACATGGCAACAAATTGGACAAACTAGAAGAAATGATTAAATTCCTAGAAATATACAATTTTCCAAGACTGAATCAGGAAGAAAATAGAGAACTTAAACAGAATGACTACTAGTTATGAAATTATATTGGTCATCAAAAAAAACCCTAACAAAAACAAGTCCAGGACCAGATGGTTGCACAGGGGAATTCAATTAAACATTTAAAGAAGAGTTAATACCTATTCCAAAAAATCTTAAGAAGGAATGCTACCAAATTCATTCTAGGAAGCCAGCATTACTCTGATACCAAAACCAGATAAAGACACTACAAAACGGATCCCTGGATGGCTCAGTGGTTGAGCACTTGCCTTCGGCCCAGGGCATGATCCTAGAGTCCTGGGATCGAGTCCCACGTCGGGCTCCCTGCATGGAGCCTGCTTCTCCCTCTGCCTGTGTCTCTGCCTCTCTTTCTGTGTCTGTCTCTTGTGATAAATAAATTTTTAAAAACTTAAAAAAAAAGACACTACAAAAAAAAAAAAAAGAAAGAGAAGAAAAGAAAATTACAGGCCAATATCCCTCATGGACATAAGTATAAAACTTATCAACACAATATTAGCAAACCAAATTTGACAACAATACATTAAAGGTATTACTAAAAAAGGAATTAAATCCTGCAATTTGTGACAACATGAATGGACCTAGAAGGCATTATGCTAAATGAAATGTCAGACAAAGTAAGACAAATGCATATGATTTCACATATATGTGGAATCTAAAAACAAAAAACAACAACAAATGAACAAACAAAAACCAGACTCTTAAATACAAAGAACAAACTGGTGGTTGACAGAGGGGAGGTGGCTGGGGAGATGGGAGAAATAGATGAACAAGATTAAGAGGTACAAACTTCCATTTAAAAAATAAATAAGTCATGGAGATGAGAAGTACAGCATAGGGAATTATAGTCCATACTATTATAATAATGTATGGTGACACTGCTACACTTATCATGGTGAGCAGTGAGTATTGTATAAATTTGTCAAATCACTATGTTGTACACATGAAACTAATATAACATTATATGTCAACTAAGCTTCATTAATAAATTTTTTTAAAAATTAAAAGAATTACACATCACAATCAAGTGGAATTTATTCCAGTGATACAAGAATGGCTCAATATCTGCAAATCAATCAATATATTATACCACATTAATAAAATTAAGGATAAAAATCATATAATCATCTCAATAGATGCAGAAAAAGCACTGAACAAAATTTAACATCCATTTATGATGAAAACTCTCAACAAAGTGGTATAAAGGGAATGTATCTTAACATAATGAAGGCCATAGATGACAAATCCATAGCTAACATCATTCTCAATGGTGAAAGACTGAAAGCTTCCCCTCTAAGATCAAGAACAAAACAAAGATGCTCATTTTTGCCACTTTTATTCAACACAGCATTGGAAGCCCTGACCACAGAAATCAGACAGGAAAAAGAAATAAAAGTCATTCAAATTAGTAAGGAAGACATAAAACTATCACTATTTAAAGATGACATGATACTATATGTAGAAAACCCTAAAGACTCCACCAAAAACTACCAGAACTAATAAATGAATGAATTCAGTAGTTATAGGATATAAAACCAATATACAACAATCTGTTGCATTCTTATACATTAATAATGAATTAGCAAAGAAAGAAATTAAGAAAATCTCATTTACAACTGCTTTAAAAAGTCAAATACATAGGAATTTAACCAAGGAAATGAAAGACCTATATTATGAAAACTATAAGATGTTGATGAAAGAAATTGAAGATGACACAAATGGAAATATATACCATACTAATGGATTGGAAAAATTAATATTGTTAAAATGTCCATATTATCCAAAGCAATCTACAGTTTCAACGCAATTCCTACCAAAAAAAAAATAGCATTTTTCACAGAACAAGAACAAATAATACCACAAATGTTCCTGATTGGAACCACAAAGACCCTGAATAGCCAAAGCAATCTTGAGAAAGAAGAACAAAGTTGGAGGTATCACACTCCCTGATTTCAAACTATACTACAAAGCTAAAGTAATCAAAACAGAATGGTTTTGGCCTAAAAATAGACACATAGATTAATGGAAATGAATACAAAGTCCAGAAATAAATTTACATATATGTGATCAATTAATCTACAACAAAAGAGGTAAGAAAATGCAATGGGGAAACAACAGTCTCTTCAACAATGGTGTTATAAAAACTAGACAGCTATATGCAAAAGAATGAAAGTGGACCACTTTCTTACAGCATACACAAAAACAAACTTAAAATGGATTAAAGACCTAAGTGTAGGACCTGAAACCATAAAACTCCTAAAAGAAAATATAGGCAGTAAACTCTTAGACATTGGTCATAATATTTTTTTTGGATCTATCCCCTCACACAAAGGGCAACAAGCAAAAACAAATATGACTACATCAAACTAAAAAGTTTTTGCACAATGAAGGAACTACCAACAAAACTTAAAGAAAACCTACTGAAGGAGAAGATATTTGCAAATGATGTATCCAGTTAGGGCTAATATCCAAAATATGCAAAAAACTCCTACAACTCAACATCAAACCCCCCCCCATCCGATTTTTAAAATCGGCAGAGGACCTAAATAAACATTTTTCCAAAAAAGACATGCAGATGGTCAACAGACACATGAAAAGATGCTCAACATCCACTAATCATCAGGGAAATGCAAATCAAAACCACAATGAGCTATTACCTCACACCCATCAAAAAGCCTATTATCAAAAAGACAAGAAATCACAAGTGTTGGCAAGGATGTGAAGAAAAAGGAAGCCTCATGCACTGTTGGTAGGAATGTAAATTGGTGCAGCCACTGTGGAAAACAGTATGGAAGTTCCTCAAAAAATTAAAAATAGAACTGCCATATGACCCAGCAATTCCACTTCTGGGAATTTACCTGAAGAAAATTAAAACATTAATTCAAAAAGATATATGCATCCCTATGTTTATTGCACCATTATTTACATTTACATTTGTTACAGCCTAGGTAACAGTCAATATTACAATTACTTTCTATGGTAACACATGGTAACTAGACTTATCATGGTGATCATTTCATAACTTATGTAAATGTCAAATCACTATGTTGCATACCTGAAAACTAATGTAATATTGTATGTCAATTATACTTCAATCAAAAAATACTTGTGTAAAATAAAGGAACTCGAGGTCTTAATTCCTGATCATGTGCACAACCCGCCCTCTAGTGTTTCTTTCTAAACACTACCAAATTTTAAACCATACTCTTAATCCCAAAATGTTAGGTTAATAGGATTAAGAACTGTGTCATCAAATTAAAAGAAGGCTAAATCCCTGACACAGATGAAAATTAAATCAAAGAAAAGTGAAGGTCCTTTCAGAAGCTGGTGGTAACATCACTGGGGAGATACTGCAAAATTAGTGGTAAATATATTTCGTTAAAAAGTTTCATTTTATAGATAAGATCTTAATAGAGAAGAGTTAGTTCAAATGATAGATGTAGATTATGTAACTACTAGTACTGGTGTTATTTTATTATATTAAAAAGACCCAAATTTTGATTAAATAATGAATTTTTTGTCCAAAATAACAAACATACATAAAGCAGATCCCTTTGGGAGGAGTTAAGATAATCTAACTTATTTTATGTATTTAACTTTATTAAAGCACATATTTATATTTGGAATGTTTATAACAAAAGTATATCAAATTAAATTTAAAAGTAAATTCATTTCCTGAGAAGAAAAAATTCAATTGTTCACTATTCGTATATCTTGATGGGTTTTATAAAGACATATGGGAAAAATCTGTGAGGGTGTTTTTGCTTTCATAAAAAAATAAGTAATGAACTACCTAGGTAAAAACTTACTTGAACATTCAGAATTTTGGAGAAAAATAATCCCTCTGACATATTTTAACTAATTCGTGCTTCAGGATGTTTACTGTTGACCAGAACATAAAATGAAGTACGGATTCTTTGGGGCTATGATCTATACTATTCGTTGTCTTAAAGTTCAAATACTTCAGATGATGACCTCATTTAACTGCCATAAAGAATGTAAACAAAATAGGGACTTGGATTCTCTTTTTTAAAATTTATATTCCAAATCTCCTTATGTCTCAGGCATATTAGCATAACTTGTCTAAAGTTATAAAGAAAAATTGACAGAAAAATGCTTTGGATCACCATGTGTTTTCAATTGATGCTGGCAAAAACTAACCTAATGGAAGGCATTTGGTACAGGTTTATTTTTCTTTTGCAGTAACAGCAGGAACATGAAGCCATCACTCTTGGTGTTTACTGTGTATCTGCTATGGCTGAAAGATTTTCACTGTGCACCTACTTGGAAGGACAAAACTGATATGCATGGAAACCTGAAGGGTACGTTTGGTTTCTTTATCTTCTGCACGGTGTCCTGCTTGTATGTTTGCATGTCCTGCTGGCATTTACAGTGATTTACAGCAGAGAGATAACCATATTCATTACGGCCTTCTAGTTTCACGGTAAGATGTTCTCTAGGCACTTAAACCAAATAGACATGACGCCAAACATCTGGAATAAAAACAGAAAATTCCAGTCGAGTATCTGAGAACGTTCACATATCCAGATGTTTGCTATCGCATAGATAAAACTTGCCAACTTTTGCACTGCATTTCTTGGTATCATCCAGATGTTTGGTGTCCTCTCAGCACAGTTTTAATTAACAGTGAAATTCTTTTCTAGCATTTGAAAAATTTAAACAATTAAAATAATCTGTGCAGTTATTCTTGCGATAGTGAAAGAACGGGTTATAATGACATCAAATCTGGTCAGTCTATGCTCATTAACTTGTGACCTCTGCTTGATAATAAATGCTTTCGGAACTGAAGGCTTAGAAAAATAAATTTGTTAAAATGTTGCTTTATGGTTGTCTATAATTAAATTTGGTAGCAAGAATAAGGTCCTTTGGAAGCCACAATGACTATTGCAAAGAGAGAATGACAATGAATTTCACGTCCACTACCAGTTTACTAGAGGTATATAAAAGGGGCGCCTGGGCAGCTCAGACCTGCCTTTGGCTCAGGTCAAGGCCCCATGGTCCTGAGATCTAGCCCTGCATCATGCTCTCTGCTCTACAGGGAGCCCCTGCTTCTTCCTCTCCCTCTGCTTGCTGCTTCTGCTGCTTGTGCTCGCTCTCGCTCGCTCTCTCTGTCAAATAAATAAATAAAATACTTTAAAAAAATTTATTTTTTAAAAAAAAGGTGCATAAGAGATTTCTGGTAGGTTATTAAAGAATCTTGCATTATGTGAGATACTTTCTAGGTTTTTTGTTTTTGTTTTTTTGTTTTTGTTTTTTTTTTTTTACTTTCTAGGTTTGATGCCTCCTGGGAAGGCAATTGAAGCTGAAAGAAAGGGAAATTGTTCACTGTGTTTGAGGTTCCCAGTTGGGCATTTAATATAAATTGTCTGTGAAGAAAATTTGAATTTTTTCTAATATAAACACTTGAGTTTTAAGTGAAAGAGAAAAAATGGATAAATGGAAACAGGCCCTGAGGAAAGGGACAAGAATGAGGTTAAATGAACTCTGACTTCTCTAGGAGCTCAGAAGCGAGGAATAGAAGGTATTATCTATGTGGCAGCTGTGTCCATGTGGCAGCCAACAGCCAATTCATTGTGATCTGGTTTCAGGGTTTGATGCTGAGTAAAGTATTTAGGAGACATGAAATTTTGGTGAACTCTCTGTAATTCTGATACATTCTAATCTGATCAAATCTCAAAGGAAAAAACTGCAACATATCTTTCAGGTTTTTCTGAGGCTGGAGACATAGATGTAGATGAAGAGGTGAAGAAAGCTTTGATTGGTATGAAGCAGATGAAAATCATGATGGAAAGAAGAGAGGAGGAACATACCAATCTGATGAAAACCCTGAAGAAATGCAAAGAAGAAAAGCAGGTACAGTAATTGAGAATAACACCTGTTCTTAAATACAGCTAGGTCATAAATACTGTATTTCTTAGTGCAATTGATAAATTACTTCTTTCCCCTAATAATGGATTTTCTGGACAGCAACTTTTTTTTTTTTTTTGGACAGCAACTCTTAGTGGAAGAAAAGTTTGAAGGAAATTTCAAATTTCTTCCAAGAACACAGTCCTAGCAGAGTAGACCTTTGCAAAGAACTCCAAATCCAGGAATTTGGAGGATTTGTCTCTATTGGGAAAGTGCTACTTTCTTAAAAAGACTTTATCCTTAGTCCCTTCTGACTTCAGATATAAACTCAAAACTGTTCCAGCAGTTTTTGGCTAGATCTGTAGTCTCTATGGTTTTTGATCTCCCGTCCCTGTTATTAAAATTATTATTAGCGTTCACTCCTAAATCTAGGCACATTAATTTATTTATAAATTAGACACATGAATTGCTACCATTAATATCTCAAGGCATAAAATACATTTGGGGTGAGATTCAGCACTAGCCAGGGTGGATATTAAGTCCGTATTTCAAATAATCTTCTGGATAGTATTTTGAAATTTTTTAGCCAATTACCAGATCTGATTAGATCATGGTTGGGCTTTGTCATGTGACCAATAAAGAAAGAGCTTATCATGAAGAAGTATCAGCTCTGCCTTTTGCTTCTTGTTCACGTGACCCTAAATTATTCATATTTTTAAATCTGAGTGTTAGGTTAGTTAAAACTAGATAATAAAATGATCATTTACCTGCTTCCTCTTAAACTAGCAATCAGCTCCAAGGGAATAAAGAGAGAGGGAACCATGCTCCTGGATCATGGAGTACCCCACTTTCCCAGTGTCCTCCTGACCAGTTGGCAACATGCAGTGGTCTGACATAAGTACCACAAGACAGCACCAGTGTGTAGAAAATAGTACATCAGCCTAATCAATTTCTTTATTCAAATGCCTTTACTTGATAGCTGCAGTGCAAACTGTCTACCATACCAATGGGAAGTATGCAATACAGGTTGACTCTCGACAATGCAGGGGTAAGGCATGCTGACCTCCAGTCAAAAATCTGCATATAACTTTTGACTCATCCAAGATGGAATTACTAATAGTCTTATTGACAGAAGCCTTATCAATAATATAAACAGTCAAATAATAGATATTTTGTATTGTTATATGTAATATATACTATATTCCCACAATAAAGAAAAAATATTAAGAATATCATAAAGAAGAGAAAATACACTTACAGTACTGTCCTGTATTTATTTAAAAAATCCACATATAAGTGGACTCATGCATTCAAACCCATGTTTTCAAGGGTCAATTATACATCCAAATGTCCATAAGAGGATGTTAAAAAGTGTTCATATGTTACAGTATGAAGTTTAATATGTTTCTAAATTATGAACATTACATGGCTCCTAGTTTAATACCATTAACAATGAACATAACATTCAAAACAATTCAATTATTTTTTAAAAATTATTTTCCAGCTTTACCCTTAAATCAAAAAAGAAATCAAAACTGTAGCAAAAATAACTTGGAAAACACTTTAAATTTTAACATTGAGAGTAAATTACTTTTAAATTCTATTTTTAGGAAGGTGTAAATGTGCTAAATCACACATAACATATAATCTTAACCATTTTTATGTATTATAATTCAATAGTTGCTAAGTACCTACACACCGCTGTGCAACCACTCCAGAATTCCTTCCATCTGGCAAAACTGAAACTCTATACCCATTGAACAACTCCCGCTTTTCCTCCCCCTGCCATCAATTTTTTTTTTTAAGATTTTATTTATTCAGGGATCCCTGGGTGGCGCAGCGGTTTGGCGCCTGCCTTTGGCCCAGGGCGCGATCCTGGAGACCCGGGATCGAATCCCACGTTGGGCTCCCGGTGCATGGAGCCTGCTTCTCCCTCTGCCTGTGTCTCTGTCTCTCTCTCTCTCTCTCTCTCTCTCTCTCTCTCTCACTATCATAAATAAAAAAAATAAAAATAAAAAGATTTTATTTATTCATGAAGACACAGAGAGACAGAGAGGCAGGGACACAGGCAGAGGGAGAAGCAGGCTCCATGCAGGTAGCCTGATGCATGCGGGACCTGACCCCAGAACCCCAGGATCACGCCCGGAACCAAAGGCAGATGACCAACCGCTGAGCCACCCAGGCATCCCCAATTTTTAAATTAAAACATAAAAATAGAAGTTTTAATATTTCCCCCTACGCCTATACCTATAGATATGTATACATTGAGGGCCCCCACAGCACAGACAGCTGCTGGAATTCTTTATTTCTGAGCACAGTGGCCTCTGGCCATCCCTCAAGGCTCTGGAGCAGGGCTGTGACAGGCTGACCCCCCCAAAACTATCCATGAGCCTGTCACCAAACTGGTTAATATTGTGTCCACACCTACCAGCCTTGTCACACAGGGTTCCTAGCAAGGAAAGACCACCTGACTAACAGCTGCAAGCCCTCCTCCCTTTGGGCAGGACAAGCAAAAGATTTAAGGAAACCAAAAATAGCTCCTTCTGAGGAAAATGTGGAAGCCCTCTCCCCAGGCTAGATTCCTCCCTGGTAGGCTTGTGATCTGGCCCCTGGGAATAATGATGCTAGATATCATTTACAGGCCCTTTATAAAACCCAATATCACACAAAATCCTTCCAACATCTGTGTAAACCATTAATGTCACTTTACAGCTAAGGAAACTGAGGCTCATGATGTTGGTGACCGTGCTAACCCGACACTGTAATGAATGACTGGGGACTAAGTCGGCTGGCAGTGCTGTGTCTCTGGGACCCAATGACTGTTTTTCTCTCTTTCCCCAGCCTCCCTACAAGCCAAGGGTGTAAAACTATGAAAAGAATGCTCTAGTTAGGGGTGGGTCAACCAAGCAAATGTGGATTTCAGTTCTGGCCCCAGGAATCCCAAGAACTAGTTAGAATTTTTTTTCTTAAAAACTTTCTTATTGGGGGGATCCCTGGGTGGCGCAGCGGTTTGGTGCCTGCCTTTGGCCCAGGGCGTGATCCTGGAGACCCGTGATCAAGTCCCACATCGGGCTCCTGGTGCATGGAGCCTGCTTCTCCCTCTGCCTATGTCTCTGCCTCTCTCTCTCTCTTGTGTGTGACTATCATAAATAAATAAAAATTAAAAAAAAAAACTTTCTTATTGGGACGCCCAGGTGGCTCAGTGGTAGAGCATCCATCTGCCTTCGGCTCAGGTCCCAGGGTCCTGGGAGCGGGTCCCACATCGGGCTCTCCACAGGGAGCCTGCTTCTCCCTCTGCCTATGTCTCTGCCTCTCTCTGTGTGTCTCATGAATAAATAAATAAAATCTTTTTTAAAAAGCCTTCTTATTATATAAAAATTCATTGACATACTCTTAAGGCCTGGACACTCAAAAAGTCCATTTAAAAATGGAAAAACTTAACTCTGAGCCTCCCTAAAATTACTTTAAACTGAGGACAAATTATGACTTAGCAAATATGAGACTGGTGCCCCTGTCTCCCTACTACAGAGCACCACCTATGTCCTCAGGTGAGCCAGTGTCATTAGGGACTCCTCTGCAGCCCCTCCCTAGTAATATTTAGTGAGAGTATCTGAAACGAATCAGAAGTAGGAAACTCCAGGGTGGCTTAAAGTGATTTGACCCTCACACCAAGTTTATATGGGACTTTGATAAACTGTAAACTACAGGAATAATCAGTGGGCGGGACATTTAGGAGAAACGGAAGGAATGGGCAGGGCTTTCCTAAACCAGAGCTCTTCCTCCATGACATTTCATTACCCAAGCTTGTAACATGTGATTTGGGAATTGGTTTTTGCTGTGCTCTTGGAGGTGATTGGAAAGAAATCAGATAATCAAACACTAGGTGCCTTGCTTGCTTATCTCAATACAAATCCTTAAGTAGTAAAGCCTATTGCTATTCCTATTTGCTAAGGAAGATACTGAGGCTCAGAGATGTTAAGTAATTTGCCCAAAGGTACACAGCTAGTGTAGTTTGGAATTGGAAACATTGGGGTTTCGGTTTATGGTCACAATGAACAGGATATTTAAAACGAGGACTGACTGAGGAAGTGTGGGAAGTATTGTTTCCTGCTGTGGTAGGGTAACTTTCTTGAGAAGTTGTAGGAATCCAAAATCGTTCTGCAATGACCAAGGAGGTAAGAAAATCCTCAAAAGATTCTCAGTGGCCAAGTGGTTCATTGGGCTTAATATGCCAGGGAAGGGTGATTTCTTTTTCTCTTCCATTAGGTAAAAATGCAACCTAAATCAGTTTTAAGTACAGAAATTTTGCTCCCTCATGTGATTTTTACCTAAGGGAGTCACTGTTAGCTTGAGACTATTTTATGGAGGAATCTGTTATACATCATCATTCCCCTGCACTAGGTCTCCAGCTTAGAGGGAGCCAGTCTTTAAAAGTCCACACTTGCAAGGAGGCCAGGGGTTTAGGCAGGGGTGCTGGTCTTGAGGGAAGGTCCTGGCGTAGAGTTGAGGTTCTCAGGGACAGCTGTCTCTTACCATCACCCGGAGTGGAACCTGGATATTACAGCAAATCACCAGGAGAGGGAGTACTTGGAATACAGATGAGAAGAAAAAAACCCCTCCCCCCCACCCTCCACCCCGCCCCCATCTTCAACCTCACTGCCAACACAGCATTTCTGCAATTAGAGTGTAATTTGCTAGGCAGATATGATTCAAGAATTGCACTTCCTTGCAATGTTTAAGCACATTCAAAAATTAAAGGCAGCATAAATAAAGGAAATAAATTTCTAAGCTTTATAAGCCTTAAAGCCTACTTTCCACATCTTCCAAGAACTAGATGTGAAAGGCAAGTAAACAAGTAAATTATTGCTGTCCTCCAGAGTGGGGACCATGTCATGGTTCACCCACATCTAGTGTAATGTCCATCCCATAACAAGTACCCAATACATAAATAAATTTGTTGAATGGACAAATGAATAGACGGGTAAGATTTGCAGTTTTTTTTTTTTAAGATTTTATTTATTTATTTATTCATGAGAGATACATATAGAGAGAAGCAGAGACACAGGCAGAGGGAGAAGCAGGCTCCATTCAGGGAGCCCGACGTGAGACTCGATCCCGGGACTCCAGGATCACACCCTGGGCCGAAGGCAGGCGGGAAACCGCTGAGCCACCCAGGGATCCCCTGCAGTTGTGAGTAGGGATCAATCAGTGCGGTTTCCTTAAACAGAAAGGTTGATTCAAGTAGATCTGTCAGCAGCTAGGGGCCAGAAGAAAGAATGAAGGAGTACATCAGAATATGCATATTTTCTAAAGGGTGAAATCAGCTAAGGTGATTCTACACACAGAATTAAGCAACGGAATAGGGTGTTTGTGTCTATTTTTTAATTAGGAAGCCCTGAAACTCATGAATGAAGTTCAGGAACATCTGGAAGAAGAAGAAACTCTATGCCAGGTGTCTTTGACAGATTCCTGGGATGAATGCAAGTCCTGCCTGGAGAGTAACTGCATGAGATTTCACACAACCTGCCAACCTAGTTGGTCCTCTATGAAAAACACGGTAAGGGAAAAACAGAGCTCAAGGTTTCAGAATTCTTAAGGTACTTAGGCCAGCTTAATTTTTAAAAAATAATTTATTTCATTATTTAGAATAGAGATGCCTGACCGGATATTGGCCTTTTGGAATCTAGAATCTAACATTCATGCTTGCTTATGTATGAACCACCTCTGTACATTCAATTTATAAGATAAAACAGCCATTTGGTGTTTGTTTCTCCCTTCAGTGACACTATATGTATCTCTCTCAGAAACACTCTGAATCTTTCTGCCTCTTATTTATGAATAGGTTCCCACTAGATTGTAAGCTCTTTGAGGGCAGGAACCATAAGTTATCTGTCTTCAATGAAGCATTGTAGGTATCTAATAAATGCTGAGTTGCATTCTGAATAATAGTATTATAGTCTCTGATTTTAACCTGCTTTAATTTTTTCCCTGGAGGCCAAAGATTTGAAGAAATTCTAGGATTTCTGAATCTCTCCTTTGATAGGTTTGCCCTCTTACGGCAACACACACATGTGTACACATTCATGTCCTCTTTAGCCATATCTGTGCATGTCTAATAGGACTGGCATGTTTGCTTTTTTGTTCCCTTTGGCTACCATCTGGGCAGAGGGAATCGCAGAGGGTGGTGACCTGAATAGGATGAGCTCTGCCCCATAAAAGGCTCCTATTGTATTGGCCTGAATTTCTCGTCCCTTCAAGACATGAGCTGAATATGAAATCCAGCGAAATTTCCCTCTCCATATCAGAGCATGATCTAATTAGAGTATGTTCCTGGCTTGGCAGTGCCATACCCAATTAAAGAGGGAGCAACCCCTAGGACAATTCATTTGCCAAGTTAATTTGCCTCCACTGTTAATTGCATCTGTTCTATTTTTATAGCCACTGTCACTCTCCAAAATACCAGAATCCAGTGAATGAGCACTGACTGGAAGTCAGGAGATTTGGAAACCATTCCTGTCTCTGCCAGTTGTGTGACTTTATAAAAATTTCTTGGGACTTTAAAGTTTGTTTTTATGCATCGATTCTGGTAAATAAAAGCTGGCAGAGAGAAGGGCAGACAAACTACCCAGATTACTTTTTGAGGAAGGCACGAGTAATCTAAGAATTCTTGGGGAATTCTTTGAATAGCACTGGGATGCTACATCTGTGATGTTTGATAGTTGGTATGCTCCATAACATTCAACGTGGCCACATCATTACCATAGAAGGGCAGCTGTGTTCTTGCACAAACTTAGGTACCATATAGATGTACAGCACGGTATGATTGCTGAAAAATACTCTCCCGTGGAGTGTAAAATTCTGCAATCACAGCTTCATTTCTTTGACTATAGCCAAGGACGGTGTTGATCACTACTAATATGTAATCATCCCTAAGTAACCTATTTAACTCTATCAGGCATCTATAATTCAGTGTGAATGTGTTTACCTTTTCCTTTCCATGGACTAATTTATGAGACAAGAAAGAGGAGACCATAAAGGCACTAACGATGTTCCACTGAATCAAACAAACCAAAAACAAACAAACAAAAAAACCCACAAAGAACCCTAAGCCCTAAGACAGAGGTGAAAGACAAGAGCTTTCTTCACAGTTTTGGGGCAACCGACACAGTACCATACCTTTAGACCATGGCATGTCAACTACTGCCTGTACATCAGGCTGTGGCTTGTCAACAATATTAAAAATATGGCCTTTTTAGGTATTTGGTAGGCATGTAAAAACAAGGAAGAATTTCAGATCAAAGTTAAAGGTACAAGAATGTTAATAAATTATCTTAAAATGAGTCACCTTTTCCTAGCTTGCCCAGAATTGTTTTTGATTTACAACGACCACTGTAAGTTGACTTTAAAATTTACAATAAGAAATTATCCAGGTCAATTATCCTTCCATTTAAAAATAATATAATAAAATTGATTTTTTTTAAAAAAGATGGTCCAGAAAGAAAATGAATTTCTTATTCCATTTTTATGCTCTACCCTACAGGTCGAACAGTTTTTCAGGAATATATATCAATACCTGTTTCCTTTTGATGAGGATAATGAAAAAGATCTCCCTGTCGGTGAAAAGTTCATTGAGGAGGATGCACAAGTAGCTCAAATCGAGAATGTGTTCAGCCAGCTGACTGGGGATGTGAGATTTCTCTTTAACAGAAGTCTTAATGTCTTCAAACAGATGCAGCAAGAATTTGACCAGACTTTTCAATCATATTTCATGTCAGATACAGACTTAATGCAGCCTAACTTTCTTCCAGCTTTATCTAAAGAGCCAAGGAAAAAAGCAGATCCTGTGCAAAGTTGGGATATTCCCAGCTTCTTCCAGCTGTTTTATAATTTCAGTCTCTCTATTTATCACAGTATCAGCACAACAATCACCAAGACGCTGAATGCAATAGAGGATTTACCAAAACAAGACAATGGCAAGTATTAAAAGATGATCTTTACTTAGATGTGAATACTAAGGTCAAGCTTTGTTTACCTTTAGAAATAGTAGACATTTCTAAGTCATTGTACAATGTTTCTAAGAGTGACAACTTATAGATAATCAAAGTTGCAGAGCCTCTTAGAGAAAACTTTGAAGTCACCCAAACACCATCCCTCCTCCATCATTGTCAAGAGCCCTGTGGGGCAGTTCTCTCTTTTTAAAGCAAATTTTCAAAGCTGAGAAACAAAATGCGTGAGAAGTTGAAAAAACTGGTTGCCTCCTTTATTAAAACTCTTGTAGGTATGCTCAGCTCTATTCTACTTGAACACTACAGGGTTTCCTTAAAATCAGTCTTGACTCCTCAACTCCCAGTGTGGGTAGGAGTCGAGTATCATGTATTATTAACCAGGTCACGTTTAGTGTCCTCCACAGCCAACCCACCCACCCACCCCCCACCGCATCACTGCCATAATCCCTAAAATTGTAACATTTATGCACAAAACCACAGAAGATGTTCACAGACAAACTCAACTACAGAAATCAGAATGTTTGTAAAGGATAAGAATTCCCTTCTACCAATACCAAACATGCCCCAAGATATTCCATGTTGCAAACAATGGAGATACCTTCCTTGGCCTTCTGTAGAGTGGCTGGAACACAGCATCTCAGAAATGAGAGTTGCTGCGTGGGCTAAGGTAGGATCTACATTTCCTTAGACTTAATCTTACAGACCACAAGCCCATGTGAAAGAACACTCCTCTCTGACATGAAAAATAATGTGGGCTCCTAGAAATCCTGCGGTTTGTAACAACATGGATGAGCCTGGAGGGCATTCTACTAACTAAAGAAATCCACACACAGAAGGACAAAGACTCTATGGTACTACTTATATCAAGAATCTAAACTAGTCCAAGTCATGGAAGCAGAGTGCAGAATGGGGTTGCTGGGAGCTGAGTAGAGGGGTAAATGGGGAGATGTTGGTCAGAGATACGTACAAAGCTTCTGTTATTCAAGATGAATAAGTCCAAAACTTTGAAGTCCAACTTTGCTGGACTAGTGCCTATTGTTAAAAATACTGTACTGTATACTTAAAAATTTCCCAAGAGAGTAGATCTTATGTTAAACATTCTTAATAATGACAATGATAATAATGATAAATAAGAAGGCAGGAGAACATTTTTGGAAGTGATGGATAGGTTTATGGCATAGATTGTGGTGATGGTTTCATAGGCTTATCCTTCTCTCCAAATTCTCTAAGTTGTATATATTATTTATGCACAGCTTTTTGTATGTAGAAAGAAATGGACTCCTTCTAGATATTTTCCAATTATATCAGCAGTATAATTGGCAACATCTGAATCAAATTCTCAAAATTACCATGACATTGCATCACTGGTCTCTATGTAGAAGGGGCCTACCTCACGGTACCAGAAGCTGAAGCCAAAAAACAACGGCTGACATCCTTCCCGTCCCATTGTTCCATGAACAGGGAACGGCCATCATTCCTGGAATCATTTTTGGGTTCTATTTCAGGGTCTGGAGGACTTTTCTTGTAAGTCAAGTGTTTTTTCTGGTATTCTATTCTGAGGTTCCAAATTCATCAATCTTCAGGAAAAGCATCAATGCAGTAGACTAAATATATCAATGCTGGGGTGATATTAAATAATTTTTGCCTGAATTTTTAAATAGATGTCAACTGTTTGGGGATAATATTCAGAATGTGTTCATTGGAACAAAATAGTGCCCTCCCCCCCATCTTTCACACTGTATACAACCTCACACGTGGGTTGTTACATTCAAATGTGCACAGGAGTATATAGTGATTCATTGACTTTGAAATCTAAATAACTTCCTAATCACTGCAACTCCCTCCCACCCCACTGACTAAGAATGTAGGTTTCCACAACCTCTGCCCGAGCTCCCTCCCCATTCTCACACCCCAGCACCAGCCCCAGCTCAGCTGGCCCTCTGCACAACTTCCACCTTGTGTGTTGCACTCTTATACCCTCCTTCCTCTGCTGTCCCTCCGCTAAGCAGACAGTGCACAGCTAGCTCAACAGGTGAGACATTTTCTTCTCAGATGAGCACATGTGGCTTATTTATCAAGAATAGTCAGGCAAGGGTTATAGGGCATTTGCAAGTGAGTCCCATCACTTTTCTGGACAGGTGGTAGGTGAGCAATAAACCTAATCCTCCTTGAAAATCTGCCTAATGAGAAGATATTTTGAGCTTTGCCCCTGGGTAGACAGAATAATAGCTGCCCAAAAGCATCTACACCCTAATCCTCAGGACCTGTGACTCTGTTGTGTTACACAGGAAGGGGAAAGTAAGATTGTAGATGGCGTTGAGGTTGCTTGTCAGTTGACCTTAATATGGGGAGATTATTCTGAATTATCCATGTGGCCACAAGGGATCTCAAAAGTAGAAGAGGGAGGCAGAACAGAATCTATGGAGATGGTAACATCAAAAGTACTCGCCCTTTCTGGGTAGAGGAAGGGAGTCAGGAGCCAAGGACTATAGTTGAAATTGGAAAGGCAAGGAAATGGATTCTCCCTTAGAGCCCCCAGAAAAAGAAAAAGAAAAAAAAAATCCCTGCTGACCTTGATTTTAGGCCAGTGAGACCCATTTCAGACTTCTCACTTCCAGAACCAGATCATTTGCATTGTTTCAAGCCATTAAAATTTGTGGTAATCTGTTGCAATGGCAACAGGAAACTAATACAAGCCTCTTGTCAGCTGCAATGGCCAACACTGACCAAGCGAGCGCTGTGTATCTGACAACATTCGTGGATGGGCTTTAGTTGTGATGATTGTGCTAAGAACTAAAATTAGAAAAACACCTAAAATTGAATAATGAGTATCATTAAAAGAAAAGAGGCACCATTAAAAAATCTGAAACATTAGGGTGTCTGGGTAGTTCATTGCTTAAGTGCTCAATTCTTTTTTTTTTTTAAGATTTTTTATTTATTTATTCATGATAGTCACACAGAGAGAGACAGAGAGGCAGAGACACAGGCAGAGGGAGAAGCAGGCTCCATGCAGGGAGCCCAATGTGGGATTCGATCCCGGGTCTCCAGGATTGCGCCCCAGGCCAAAGACAGGCGCCAAACCGCTGCGCCACCCAGGGATCCCTAAGTGCTCAATTCTTGATCTCAGCTCAGGTCTTGATCTCAGAGGTGTGAGTTCAAGCCCCATGTTGAGCCCCACAAAGGGTGTGGAGCCTACTTAGAAAAAAAAAAGTCTGAAATATTTTGTTTTTTAATATTTTTATTTGAGTGTGGTTTCATTTTAGACTTCATATGGGAGAATTTCTTTCCTACTTTGATCTTCCTAAACCTCAGTTCCTGAATCTGTTGAAAAACAATAAAATAGCTCTTGCAGCTGCCTCACGTGCCTTATAAACGACTGGATAGGATAGATAAGATTGTGTTCAATAAAACTGTGTGGTGTAGTAGCTTAATGCAGTGCCAGATGCTGGGAGATAGGAGTTCTAATCCTACTTTAGAGAACATTTGCTGACTTTAATTTCCCCTTTGAGTGGAGTGGGGAGACGGAGGGAGAGTAGATGATTGATAGGAGGGATGGCACCAGAAGTAGCTGCCTAGAAGGGCTGGAGGCTCTGTGATGGGTTACTACCATGATGCCATGGCACAGGAGAAAGTATTGGTGTCATATGGATCTGTAATTTGCCATCCCTTATCTATATACCAGATATTAATGTAGATGCTGGGAATAAGACAATGAATATCACACAGCCCCTGACTTTTAGGAGCTCAGTCCAGAAAAAGGAAAACAGATTATTGGACAATTATATTACCATATTATAAGTGAAATGACAAAAGAAGTTATGAAAGAATGGCATGATTCAAGTGACAAGAGCAAATCCCTTCCCTCAGTCAGGGGAATCTAACAGAGAAGACAAGAAAGCAAACAGTACATAAAGCAGAGGCAAGCCCTACAGCAGAACTCCTCACAGGGGTTCTGTGGGGGTGACAAGGGACGCTACCAATTCTACAGGGGACGGTTCAGAAAGGCAGGTGGGAGGAAAAAACTTTCTAGTCAACAAAGAGATGGTTGCCTTACACACCACATGATCTAGCCAATGCTTCAGGTTTTTAACTAACAGACTTCACAATTCATCTCAAAATGACACATTTCATTTTAAAATGTTGATGATTTAATATAAGAGAAAATCAGGTTGTAAATTAATAGTAAATGTTTCCTAATGTGAAACAGTTGAGAACAGTCAATTTTATGTTAGACAATTTTTTTCACATCATTTTCATATGAATTATTAATTCCTCCAGAAAAAGGAAAAAGTTTTCTCAAAAGTTGATCAACTTTAGATATTTTCCTAAATCTCTGACCCATCATTCATAACATCATATATATGTAATGCAAAAGGAACAGCTTAGAAACAGACGTTCCCAGTACTTTGAAACTCCAATATACTTCCCAATTATAGCTTTAAAAAATTAAAACAATTATAAGAAAATGTTTTAAATAGAAATTGAAAGAGAAAAGTTCCCTATTATCTACAGGTTAATCCATTGACATCAGAAATAACAATAGCGGTTCCGGCATTGAGTCCCACAAGGGGCTCCCTGCATGGAGCCTGCTTCTCCCTCTGCCAGTGTCTCTGCCTCTCTCTCTCTCTCTGTCTCTCTCATGAATAAATAAATAAAATCTTTATATATATTTAAATATATTTATATATAATATATAATGTAATATATAATATATATATGTGATCCAAAATGTGATTGTTGGATCAAAGAATATATGCAATGTTTAATAGATGTCAAATTGTCCTAGCAAATGGCTGCAACAATATGCCCGCCTATGGCTGAATACAGAAAGATTTTTGAAAGAACTTTCAAAAGAAAAATAAATGACATCATGTCCGCACCTTTAAAATGCAGACTCTAATGAGATTAATGTGTAAACACTATGTTACCTGCAGATTCTAACCATGGAAGCCTGAGTTCAAAGATATTGCCTGTGCAGCACAGAGGACCCTATGGAGAATTTGGCCAGAATTTGTCAGAATGTTTCCAGTTTCATGCCAGATGCCAAAAATGTCAGGATTACCTGTGGGAAGGTAAATAATTATTATTTTCCAGTGTCTCAATAGCATTCTGGTCAGAGGTCAAAAATGCACTTTTACAAGCATCATGGGTTCATTTACTTTCCTTAGAGCACTTTTTTTGCCAGCTTATTCCCATCTGGGGTGCTCAGTGTAGGTATGTAAACTTTTATTATTCCAAAGGTCAACTTGCCTTTTCTCTAATTTAAAATTCCCTCATTGTTCCTGTGAAATTTTTTATGGTTAAAGACCAAGAAACACTCATGTGTGCAAAAAAGAAGTAGGAGCAAATTAGGGTACTCCTTCCTTCTCACTGCAAGGAGAAAGAAAGCCCACCATGGAAGCAGTCTTCCTATTGTATAAGCAAATTGTTAGCCAAGTGAGCTTTTTTTCCTTTAAGTGGCATTAACTCTTTCCAGTTGGTGAGTTAACTAGTAATTAAATATGTAAAGTGGCTCCTCCTCAGAAACCACATAGCCTTTCCCCACCAGACCTGACCAAGAGTGGTGAGAAATCCTTCTCTCCTCTGGGCCTTCTCTGTCCTCCCTCCCTCTCTTCATCTCTTCTCCCTACCCCTAACTAAAGTCACTCCTCCCACCTGGCAGGGCTGCCCCCTCACATATTTTCTTAAAAAGCCAAACCATAATTTTGATTCCTATGCTTCTGCTTCTTAACTCAGTAAAGCCCTGAAGGAAGGAGAAGCTAAAAACCAAGAAGGTTGAATATAAACTGGACCTTATTTCTCTTGCATTGCTAATTAAGTGACTCTGCACCTCTGTTTCATCACATGAAGAATGGGAATAATATATCTATGTATACAGGTGTTTTGCAAATTAAAGTATTTACGGGGATGGCTCAGCTATTGAGCATCTGCCTTTGACTCAGGGCGTGATCCAGGTCTGGGATCAAGTTCCACATAGGGCTCCTGCAGAGAGCCTCTGCCTGTGTCTCTACCTCTTTCTCTCTGTGTCTCTCATGAAAAAATAAATAAAATCTTTAAAAAATAAATAAATCTACCATACTAATGATTTTCATTATTCAAGTTTTTGCTTTTTAAGTCATAGTCACAAGGTTACATACAGAAACAGAAGCTGTTTGGTTTTGTTTTTTTTTTTAAGATTTTATTTATTCATGAGACACAGGAGAAAGGGAAGCAGAGACAGAGGAAGAAGCAGGCTCCTCATGGAGTGGGGAGCAAGACTTGATCCCAGGACTCTGAGATCACAACCTGAGCCGAAGGCAGACACTTGACTGACTGAGCCACCCACATGTCCCTATAAGTTTTTATAACAGAAAAATATGCACAAATACACTAATCACTTACAAAAATAGTCCCACTCAAACATCCGCTCTGTGTATCATTTACTTCCTTTCATCCATTTGAAAGCTTTGATGAATAATCTCTCCCTGACTGTTATAAAATCATACAGAAGATGCAGAGAGGGAATCGGAAGAAAGTGGTCAAGAGGTACAAGCTTTCAGTTATAAGATAAATAGGTGAAAGGCAGGTAACAATATACAACATGATTGTAGTTAATACTGCTGTGTGATTTATAGGAAGGTTGGTAAGAAGATCTTGAGAAGTCTCATCACAAGGAGAAATTTTGTTTCCTTTTTGTTTTATGTATATGACATGATGGACGTTAACTAAATCTATTCCAATAGTTATTTTACAATATATGTAAATCACATCATACTGTATACTTTAATCTTATACAGTGAAATATGCAATTATTGCTCAATAAAACTGGAAAAAATATGGAAGAAATCAGATAATATAGTACAATTGCCTCAGATAATCAATATACTTCAGACAATGCATCAGATACGCAGAGCGGATAACACAGAATACATGCAATATGAATTGGCTGCTGCATAGATAAAACATCAAGTAAAGAATGCTCTATTGCACTCCCATACACCTTAAAAACTGATTATAAAATGCGTTTTGTATAATCGTATAAAGGATAAAAGAAAAAACCCCACATGCCTACAACCTGGATTAAGAAGCCCTTTGTGTCCCTTCCAGAGCACATCCTCTTGATGCCCTCAAAAAGGAAACTGCTATTCTGATATTAGTGTTTATTATTTTTTTGCTTTTCTTTATCCTATTGTCACATGTATGTATATAACACACACACAGCATACATAGCAACATTTTACATGTTTTTAATTTTATATTGTCAAAGTATAATTTTTAAGTTTAAAACTATGACTCATACAAATATAAAATGAGCACATGTCAAGATTAATTTATCCTATTAATGATGGAATCAGCAAAGTGTTAAAGCTGTTTCAAAGGAGTACAGGAGGGACACCTGGATGGCTCAGCAGTTGAGCACCTGCCTTTGGCCCAGGGCATGATCCCGGAGTCCCGGGATTGAGTCCCGTGTCAGGCTCCCTGCATGGAGCCTGCTTCTCCCTCTGCCTGTGTCTCTGCCTCTCTCTCTCTCTGTGTCTCTCATGAATAAATAAATAAAATCTTAAAAACACACACACACACAAAGGAGTACAGGAGAGACTGAGGTATTTATAGTCAAAGATAGAACATTGAAGTCAGATTGCAAAATTAAATATAAAACTAGTTACTGTTCTAATGAGCAATAAAACTAAGTTTTGCAGTGATGTTTTCTATTAGACCAAAATAATTTATATCTCTACTGGACAAAAAACATTTGTAGCTTTTCAATTTAAGACGTTCATTTAAGTACATAGAAGTTCATAGAATCTGGCCCTGAGCAACAGGAAACAGTAAATCCAACAAAAGATGATCTCCCTAGAGAATCAAAGAGTCTTTAGTCTTGTAACCTTGAAAAGAATGTAGTCATTCTTCTGCCTTATTTCCAAATTTTGGATAATTTTTCTTAACAGAAATATTATTGCTTATGTATTCTTTGGCAACTTGGCTTGTCACAGTCGAGCTTGTGAGATTTAGCCATTTGACTACGTGTTCTAATTCATTAATTCACTGCTATTTGTGTAGGCATATCACAGCTTACCATTCTCCTTAAGTGTATTTAAGTTGCTTCCATGTTTTGCTCTTATACTCCATTCTTCTACATTTTACTTTGCCTCTTCAATCAACATTTGATTCATTCTTTGTTCTAAAATGAAGCACATTGTTACAATTATAGATATAAGATCTTCTATATCTTAATTTTATGTTTGATAACTATTTTCCAAGACGTCATAAATCTTTTTGTTTTCCCACTAGTTACCATACATTTTTGGCCCTGATTTTAAACAGATCTACTGTGACTCTTTTCCTCTTTTCCCATATCAATTACTGGCAATGTATATATACTCCCAAATTTAAAATAGTAGTTTTCCTTATGAGAGGACAGAGAGAGGTTTTGATGTGGAGGGGCCACAGTGGGGGCTTCATCTGTTTAGGTCATATTTCATTTCTTAATACAAGGGGAAGGCATATGGGATTTTACCAAGGAACTTCTGTCTCCTGCCCATTTTGTTATATGAGACCATATAATTATTAATTAAACTAGATCTCTCTTTTTTTAAGATTATTTATTTATTTATTCATGAGAGACACAGAGAGAGAGGGGGGCAGAGACACAGGCAGAGGGAGAAGCAGGCTCCTCGCAGGGAGTCCGACGTGGGACCCAATCCCAGGTCCCCAGGATCACGCCCTGGGCCGAAGGCAGGCTCCAAACCGCTGAGCCACCCAGGCGGCCCAAACTAGATCTCTTTTGAAAGTGATATGGGTATATGAATAATTACTTAAAAACAATAGGCATAAACTGGGAAATCTCATAGGCAGAAGGGGACATATATATAGTAGATTAGAACAAAATAACCACAATAATTTACGGTTTCTTCCATCAAGAGATATTTTATTTTATATTTATTGTTTTTATTTTTCTAGTCATGAATTTGGGCTTGGCCATGGGTCGGTCCTTAGTAAATGAGATAGTGGAAAATGTGACCAAACTGCAGGCTTGACATGTGCTTGTAAATTAAAGCTTGTTTTGGGGCACCTGGGTGGCTCAGTCCCTTAAGCATCCGCCTTTGGTTCAGGTCGTGATCCCAGGGTTCTGGGATTGAGCCCCGTGGTGGGCTCCCTGCTCAGTGGGGAGTCTGCTTCTGCCCCTCCCCCCCCGCCCCACGAATCAATCTCTTTCTCTCTCTCTCTCTCTCTCTCTCTCTCTCTCTCAAATAAATAAAATCCTAAAGATCTACTAAATCCTAAGATCCTAAAGATTTTATTTATTTGAGAAAGAGACAGGCAGAGAGAGGTTGAGAGCACAAGCAGGAAAACAGCAGGCAGAGAGAGAGAGGGAGAGAGAGAAGCAGGTTCTCTGCTGAGCATGGAACCCAATGTGGGACCCAATCCCGGGATCTTGGGATCATGATCTGAGCGGAAGGAGACATTTAACTGACTGAGCCACCAAAGCACCCCTCAAAATGTTATCTTGAATCACTTTTCCAACGTATGTTACTGCAAATTTGTTTACTTTTTTAAAAGATGTATTCATTTTAAGAGAGAGAGAGAGAGAGCAGGTGCCAGCAAGTGAGTAGGGGGAGGGACAGCAGAAGAGAACCTTTGAAGCAGACTCCCCACCAATCAAGAAGCCTGACACGGGGCTAGATCCCACAACCCATGAGATCATGACCTGAGCTAAAACCAAGAGTTGAATGTTCAAGTGACTGAGCCACCCAGGCGTCCCAAATTTGTCTACTTCTAAGTACCAGGGTCTCCCTCTCCTGAAGATCCCAAAATGATTTCTGAAAATGTATGCGGTTCCAGGGAATCCTGTGTTATAATCTTAAGCATCAAAAAGAAACCAATAAACTGAAGGTAAGACCTCAGATGAGGCAGTCACCCAGCTCTGGCTAGTGGATCCTCTCCTGCCCCTATTTTCCTAAAGGCAAGGCTTTTTGATAAACGGTAAAAGACACAGTTTAAAGAGTCTGTGGTCTTTTTCCACAACAACAACCTCTTATGATCCTAAATGCCCTACCACACAGACACTTCCATAGCTTTCAGATAATCTTTCCACAGGATCAAGCTGCTCATCAGCACAGCTATGTAAATTCCTATAATCCTGGTTCAGTTCAGATGGCTGTTGTGCAACATAGCACAGAGCTGCAGAATCATAGTGCCTGGTAAGCACAGGGGTCTATTTCTCTGTGCTGTGTCAACTGCAGCTTGCATGGAGGCCCTCCTGCACCTCTCAGGGTGATGCAGCCTCCACGCTATGGAGCAAACCCAGTTCTGCCGTCAGGGGAAAGGACACAGGATAAATCCTGAACTGTTCCATAGGCTTTCTCCAGAAGTGAGACACATCACCTTGAAGATTGCCACAGTCAACTTCAAGGTGGCAGAGAAGCACAATCTCCCATGTGTCCCGGTCAGAATGTCAGTGAGTAGCCCTAATGACCCTTCAGAAACACTACAGAAAGGAGGAAAAGAAAAAGGAACATTTGCTAAATCTCCAGGGTGTGCCTGACCTGAAGCAGGCACTTCACCGTGTAATTTCATTTACCCCTGTTTTACCTAATTGAAAATTCACTCAAGGTCCAAAAGCTGGAAATGGAAAGTTTAAGGGCTGGAATTTACACCCACACCACCCAACCCCAAATTTCAGGGGCATTTTCCTTTACCATGTTGTCTTCTTCTTTGCTAGACTGTCCCGATGTACCTGAACTACACACAAAAGTAGATGAGGCCCTCGAATTGGTCAACATATCCCATCAGCAGTATGCCCAGGTTCTCCAGATGACCCAGCAACACCTGGAGGACACCACATATCTGATGGAGAAGATGAGAGAGGAATTTGGCTGGGTGGCTGACCTGGCAAACCAGGCCCCAGGAGCTGAGAACATCTTTGATTCCACAAAGGTAAGGGAGAGACCCAAGAACCGATATGGAGATTCCATGTGCATACTATGATTTTTTTTTCTGTTAATTCACTTCTTAAGCACTCTGCATTTGAAAACAAGCTGTGGGAGGATATTCATATTTCCATCATGATTGTATTGAGGCTGACTTGATATAATGTAGTGCATGTCCTTAGAAACAAGAAACTCTATAAAGAAAACCAATTTAAAATGCAAAATATTTTCTAATCCAGACATGGCCAATTCTGCCTAGAGCTACAGGGATGCACTTAACTGATTCCAGTAATCTTGAAGAAATCTGACAATGTACTTTTTAAGTGAGAAGACTTCCAGGTGAAGCAACAGTTCAAATGCTGACACTGGTACTTAGCGCAGCAAGTTTGGGGATGTTCTGGAACCTTTCTAGGTCTCAGTTTTCTACTTGAAAAATGGAGATAAAAATAAGATACCTTAAGACAGAGGACTGTAGAGCAATTAGTATAGATTCTTTATCCAGAGCAAGAACTTTGTAAATTACAGCTCTCAATAGCTTTTCAACAAAAAGCTGCTGACTTACCTTGAGAATTAAACATATTTGTATACTAATATTCACATCAAAACATATTGCCATCTTAAATTGCACTTGTACCATGTCTCCTACATTCAGGCAATTAACTCCTGTGGCATAGAATAAAACAGTGACTGAATTTCTCTTCTGACCAACTGCTCCAATCCCCACTCCCACAACACGCATACCATTATGTACAAATACACCAGGCTAGTGACTCCTGATGAGGTTAGTTACTGACCGGTTCCTAAAAAGAGCTGGATACAAAAATCACTGGGCAGAGCAACTGAAGAAGCAGTATTTTATGCAGCATGTAAAGTCAGAGCCTTAACCCAGGGATCCTTTCGCCAGCTTTCACTGGTGCTGCTGCTAACTGCTCATCCGGCCCCTAAACCTTCTCCAAAGGATTGCCCAAGGGGCCACTTAAGAGCTCCCTGCAGCTGCAAGCCAGAGATCACCTGAAGCCATATTCTAGATTAGCTTCTTCCTCTTGTCTGTTGCTTGCCTCATTTCCCCGAAAAATTTCACCTGAAACCACCCTTAATCTATCACTTGCATCAGTCTCAGGCTCTGCTTCCAGGGAATCTGACCTAAAACATTCTGTGTCCTACTATTTCTGTCTCTTTCAGACTGCAAAGTTGTGGTTGTGTGGCTCAAGAGAGGTTAGAGAGTCACAACCAGCACATTGAACAAACAAAAACAGAATAATAGGGCAGACTAGAAGAGAAAGACTGCATTGTGTTTAACAAATCATATGCATATATCATGGAACTTTCATTTTCATTGTGTGTGTGTGTGTGTGTAAATACGTGTGTATACATATATGTAAGATGTGTGTTTTTGAGTAGTGATGCAAAACATCACAAACGGTTCTGACAACCACTCTCCCATCTCAGCTGATTCTGATTCATTTACTTCATTAGATAGATCATACCCAAGGAGAGTAAAATAATTCAGTATAATTGATCATCCTCACAAACACACTTTCAGCTAATGAGGAAAAGGTCTTGTCTTGAAGAATAAAATTTGAAGAAAAGTTTGAGCAGTGCTTTCAGTCTTTAAAAAGTTACAGCCAAGAGTTCATTGCTTTCAGCAGCAGCAGCAGCAGCAGCAGCATTTTCCATTCTATGCTTCAGTTGGCTTCTATTCCAGTATCTCTGGGTAATGCTAACAGACTTACCTGAAATTCTTTATATTGATAACAGAGGCAGTTCTACCTAAGAATCTCCATATAAAATAAGATTTTGGTTTTCAAGGATACATTGTTCTAATAATCATTGTCACTAAAGAGCACTTACTATGTGTCAGGCAATGTTTTAAGACTTTTTTCCATACATCAGATCCTTTAATGCTCTCAGTGATCCTACCGGTATTGTTTTTTCACATATTTCAGATGAGGCACACAGAAGTTAAATAACTTGTCTGAGGTCACACAGCTGGGAAGCAGTAGAACCGTAATTCAAAACCAAGTAGAACTTCTCCAGAATTGCTGGACTTAACCACTTTGCCAAACTACCTGTAAATGTTATTTTTCTTAAAACAGCTCTTACTTTATCATGTAACAGAAAGTGCAAAGCCATAAAACAGCAAGTACCGAAGAGGAATGCACAAATCCCAGCAGGTGAAAAAAGTGATGACCCTCAGGTTGTAGTTACACGGTGTTAGTTTTATCATTATTCATTAAACTAGACAAAAATGCTTTATTCAGTTTCCATGTGGGTTATAGTCACCGGAAGGAAAAGGGGGGAAATCATGTTAGCTATTCCTTTACAAACTGGAATTAAGAAGTTCTCAGTTTTTATTTAGCTTCTTACTATTTTGTTTTAGTTTTTTTTTTTTAGGATAAGGGGGTTATTCGAAAACATTTTCAAAATAGTTCTCTTAAGGTTACATCAACTTGCATGTCAGTACAGTTTCATTTAAGTTATTGAAATCGAAGTATATGTACTTGAGAATTCATGAAGAGTAACCGCCGTGACTTTCAGACAGTTGGTTCTCACAGAAACCACACATGCAACCCTAAATTGTAAATTTCCTAGGAACACTCAGTATAAAACTTGGTGTGTCACATTAATATTAATATTTGTGACAGTGTCCGTTGTGCTCACCAAACATTCCATCTGTTCATTTATATTTTCTAGCTCCTCTTGCTGTTAAGTGATGCCATGTGGCAAGTTCTGGCCGCATGAACCAAACTGACAAAGGTTATTTCTAGACTTAGATGAAGGGCCTGTGTGTGCTTATCCACTCTCTGTCTCTGCCACGGGCACAAAGAAAGCCAGGTGTTCCTCATGCTACAGGCATGAGATGACATGCCATTGTCAACCAGGGTCCTGAGGGGTGGAGGCTGGACAGAGTCCCTGAAATGGACATGAAATATATGGGAGAATGAAATGTTTGCCGTGTGAAACCATTGGGTTATTGGGGCTACTGTGTTACCTCAGCACAGCCTAGCCTAGCCTGACTAATGTGCTATTAAATTAATCCTGAATGTGCACTGGGGTTTAGTAATCATTTACTGTGTAATCCTTTTTCTTAGATGGTTCCAAACATACATGAAGGGAATTTTTCCAAACAAGATGAAACGATGATAGACTTAAGCATTCTGTCTTCCCCAACTTCACACTCAAGATCCCTCTTGAAGAAAGTGCTGAGACTTCTAACTTCATTAGCTACATGCTGGAGAAAGCTGTGCAGCATTTTAAGAAACATTTTAAAACTTGGTAAGCAGAGTCACTGGTTAGACATGCCTTGTAGATAGGAATAGTCGATTCATAAAAGGAAAAGACAACAAAACCAGTTTTAAATACCTAGAAAATAGGGATGCCTGGCTGGCTCAATGGGAAGAGCATCTGACTCTTGATTTCAGGGTCATGAGTTCAGGCCCCTTGTTGGGGATGGAGCCAACTTAAAAAAAAATAAAATACCTGGAAATATGTTCAACCTCATTAATAATCAAAGACATAGAAATGAAGACAAGATAGCAGTGTGTGCCTCTCAAATGTGTAAATTTTAAAAAATACAGGGACGCCTGGGTGGCTCAGTGGTTGAGTGTCTACCTTTGGCTCAAAGCATGATCCCAGGGTCCTGGGATCAAGTCCCACGTTGGGCTCCCCTCAGGAAGTGTGCTTCTCCCTCTGCCTCTCTCAGTGTCTCTCATGAATAAACAATAAAATCTAAAAAAATATAAAAAATTATGATAGGAATGTGATAAAAGGGGAATTCTTATATGTTATTGGCAGGAACACAAACTGTTTTTGCCGTTTTTGAAAATAGCTTTTTAAAAATATAATTTATTTATTCATGAGAGACAGAGAAGGCAGAGACGTGGGCAGAGGGAGAAGCCGGTTCCTCCTAGGGAGTCTAATGCAGAACTCCATCCCAGGACCCCGGAATCACAACCTCAGCCAAAGGCAGATGCTTAACCACTGAGCTACTCAGGTGCCCCTGAAAATAGCTTTTTTTTTTTTAAGAGTTTATTTATTTATTCACGAGACACACAGGCAGAGGGAGAAGCAGCCTCCATGCAGGGAGCCTGACATGGGACTTAATCCCGGGGCTCCAGGATCACGCCCTGGGCCGAAGGTGGCGCTAAACCACTGAGCCACCCAGGCTGCCCCTGAAAATAGCTTTTTGAAAAACTATTTGATTATGCATGTCAAGAGCCATAAAACTTCTTTTTGTTACAAAAAATCAATTTCTGGAATTAGTCCTAAGGAATAAATCTAAATTTGATTAAAAGGTGTGTGTCTATCAACTTCATCATTGTCCTCCCACTCCCCAGGGGTACCTGGGTGGCTTAGTAGGCTAAGTGGACTCTTGATCTCAGCTCAGGTCTTGATCTCAGGGTCGTAAGTTCCAGCCCTGTGTTGGGCTCCACCCTGGTCAGGGAGCTTTTTTTTTTTTTTTTTTTAAGTACCCTCAAGCCAAAATATATATTTGCAAAATTATTTAAAATACTAAAAATTTTAAAATAATCTTAATGTCTAAAAGCAAGAGAACGGTTAATAGATTGTGGTTTAATATCTTCTGAATTAGTGGCACATTACTACTATATGTAACATTCTCTTTCAGTGACATGACCAATCTTAAATAATAATTAAATTTTAATTCATAAGGGACCTTGTTAGTAGGTCAATGTATAATTAAGCTAGATATTACATAATTTGCTGCCTGTCCCTTTACCTCTGAGTTTTGGAAAGCTTTTTTTCAAGTTGTTTTAGTCAAACAATCGATATCTTTTTAGTATCTCTTAAGTGAAGGCATAGAACCCAGGTATTGTAGTGGAGAAAATGATAAATTTGACAAGATTCTTTCCCAAATACGCTTCCTATCCAGCAGGGAATGGGGCAGAGGTTTATAAGACACACATATAACAGTGATGGAAGGTGGCATATAGCCAGTTCCAAGGCAGGGGGCCTCTGGGAATTGAGGAGGACACTTGACTTTCCAGAAAAGAATAAACTTCTCAACTGTATATATTTCCTTTTTCCTCTTCCTTTCCCACTGGCCCTCTATCTTCTTTCCTTCCAATTTTAGTATATGTGCTGCCGAAGCGAGCACATCTTCTTTCCTTTGTTCTTTCCCTACCCTCCTTCCCTCCCACCCTTTCTTTTTTCTTCTAAAAAAAATGGGTTTCCATCATTTTGGTAGTTTTTTTTTTTTTCAAAAGCCAAGAACATTTACTCTATTACCCATTCTGAACTTTTACAAGAAAAAAATACTGTCTATAAAGAATTTATTAATATTTTGGTTTTTGCTGCTTTTTTTTTTTTTTAAAGGTAAGACCTGAAGCATCCTCATCCTATACCTGCCAAGTAGAATTACCTCTTCGGGTACCTCTGAGATCTGAAAATCCCAAATGTATAAGATAATATAATAAATGAAATAGCAGGAAAGTATGTCAGTTACATATTATGAACTACTGTTAATTTTCTTATGTTGAATGGCAGTTTCATAGCTATTGGAATTGAGTTAAAGTAAAATTCCTTTTTAAGAAAATCACATGTACACATTACTAAATTCTATGGTAGGTTAGTAGTTCTTTGTATATTAAATAAATATAGAATTACCGACATGACTGTTTTCTATAATTTCTACTACAAATATGCCACCTTCTAATTAACAAAGTACACTTCTTTCAATTTGCTTTTGAATTTACAATAATTGACATTTTGGAAAAAAAATCTATAATTCACTCCTTTGTTTAGTAAAAACCTGTAACTTCTGCATCTATTTTTTTATTGTGGTAAAATATATAGAACAAACTGTATTATTTTAACCATTTTTAAGTGTACACTTCAGTAGCATTAAGTAAATTCACATTATTGTGCAGCTATCACTCCCATCCATCTCTAGAGCTGATTACATCTTCCCCAAACTAAACTCTATACCCATTAAACACTACTTCCCATTTATCTCTTCTCCCTGTCCCTTTGAGCACTATTCTCCTTTCTGTGTCTATGAATTTGCCTCCTCTAGGCATTGTTTTTTAAAATTGGCACAACAGGGCAGCCTGGGTGGCTCAGCAGTTTAGCGCTCCCTTCAGCCCAGGGCGTGATCCTGGAGACCCCGGATCGAGTCCCACAATCGAGTCCCGCATTGGGCTCCCTGCATGGAGCCTGCTTCTCCCTCTGCCTGTGTCTGTGCCTCTCTCTCTACTGTCTTTCATGAATAAATAAATAAAATATTTAAAAAAATAAATAAATACAAATAAAATTGGCACAACAGGGTTTCCTTAGAGCAAGGCCATACATATTTTATGGAAAATACAAGATGTCTTTGGGTGACACTTAATCTCATAATTTGAACCTTGGTGCAATATAATAATTGGAGAGTCATTTGCCAGTTTATGTCACTTAAGGTTACACTGGAAATATATTTATAGTCAGTCTTTCAAGTTATGGAAAGGAATACATATTGATCAAAATCACAAATATATCATACATTTCTATGACCATTAAACATATAAAATACAATTTTTAACAGAAATACGTCTCTTAATGAGAAAGAAGAGCTTTCCCCCCCTAATAAGTTAATGTATCCATTGATACAATTCTTTCCTAGAATAACATAGGATTTAGCATCCATACTAGCCTTATTTTTTATTTTTTAAATTTTTTTCCAAAGATTTTATTTATTTATTCATGAGAGACACAAAGAGAGAGAGAGAGAAGCAGAGACACAGGCAGAGGGAGAAGCAGGCTCCACGCAGGGAGCCCAATTTTGGACTCAATCCCAGGTCTTCAGGATTACACCCTAGGCCGAAGGCAGGCACTAAACCGCTGGGCCACCCAGGGATCCCTATTTTTTATTTTCAAAGATGCAAGTGCTAGGAAACAGGCTAGCATGAATGCACTGGGGATTGGAATGTTTTTTCCCCCGGGGACCTAAAATAGTTCCTCTGTACAGTTATCATGCTAAGCCCTGAATAATGTATAGAACTGTTGAAGCACTGTATTGTAAACCTGAAACTAATATAACACGGTATGTTAACTATACTGGAATCAAAATTAAAACTAAAAAAAATTAAATGAAGTAGTTCCTCTGTACCTTCAGTAGCCCTTTACCGAGTTATGCAATCATCATAACACTTGTCACTATCTGCAGGTGTCTTGTTTGGGCACATAAGCATTGTTTGTCTCTGCTAGAACATCAGTTTCTGTGAGAAGACTTTGTCTATTTTGCTCTGTGTTGACATGCGCGGTAGGCACTGGGATATAAATTCTTCTTGGATGAATGAATAAATGATATGCTCATCTGAGAGGATCATTCACTTATGGAGCAGCCCCTGGGAAAGGAACCATTCTCTCTCTATTATCATCAAACCAGTACCCTCCAAGTACCACAGTAGAAGAGGCATCTCCACATGGGCAGGTGAACCTACTCTTATGTCTTGGGATTCTCCTTGTGGTACAACTGGTATTTATAACAAAAGAAGACTAAATACCAAGGGTAACATACAACTGGAAAATCTGGGATATTTTCAGCCCTGGGATCCTCCCCATGGCTGGAGATGTGTGGAGACACTTCTCAGTTGAGGTTGGGTTGAAGGAATACCTGCAGTTAGCTGGCTTTCCACAGGCATGCCAAAGCCCTGCAATATGCAGGACAGTCCTGCCCAGCAAAGAACTCTGCATTTTCTGGCCCACCCAGGACCGTGCTTCCACATAGCATTTTAGCTTCTTATACCCAGGGGCAACCTCAAGATGGAGCAGACAACGTGAGTCCCTGTTCCTGTCTAAAGTCTGTTTTCTGAGTTCAGGTTTTCTGATCAAGCACATCTCTTCCCAAATGCCCATCAAAAAGAATGCCGCCCCCCAAAAGAATGCCCACTCCCTCTGGTGCTACCCACCCTGTCCAAACAGAACAACACAGGAGAGCCATCATTCCTAACAGAGGCAGGGGACTCTTTAAAACTATTAATACACTGGGATGGGCTAGGGTGGGAACCATGCTGCAAGAGAGGGAAATGAACTTAATGCTGGCCTATGAAAGACCAGCCTAGTACTGTGATGGATTAAATAGATTTAAATCTGCTATTCTGCAGCCCAATGCAATTTTTACTGTGGCCTTTGTGAGGACGACAAGAACGCACTTTCCATCTATGAGGCTTGTGAAATGTCCCCTGAAGCACTCCCTGAATCTATTAATAGTATTTTCTCCCTCAATTAACCCAAAAGGCCAGGTATTTTATAAATTTTCTTTGAGAATTGATTTATTTTTTATAGGCTATATGCCACATAAAGGCGTGTAAAATTGTTCTCGCTGAGATTAAGTAGAGCTGCAGATGAAAGATATTTACCTCTTCCTAGAATTTGTGTTACAGTTACAAAAATTTTAACCTTGATGTTGAAAGGTGCATCTTAGCAGAAAGAATCTTGCACAAATTCACTTGAGATAACCAGAAAACACAAACACATGTTGAATTTATTGAACAGCAAGAAATAGTGTTCGATATGTTTCATTCAGAGCCAACATCGTATTTTTCACAATCCTAGGCCCAGTAACAAGAAATACATTGAACATCTACTGTGTGTTTAATAAAACAGTTGATTCAAAAGACTGCTTGTTGTATGTACATGTATTAGTACATTTTTTAAAGATTTTTATTTATTTATACGAGAGAGAGAGAGTGAGCAAGCACAAGTGGGTGGAGGGGCAGAAGGAGAAGCAGACTCCCTGCTGAGCAGGGAGCCTTACACGGGGTTCCATCCTGGGATCCTGGGACTGAGCCAAAGGCAGATGCTTAACCATCTGAGCCACTCATGCACCCCTATTTTATTTTTTAAAGATTTTATTTATATATATATATACTTTTTTAAAAAATGATTTTATTTATTTATTCATGAGAGACACAGAGAGAGAGGGAGGCAGAGATACAGGCAAAGGGAGAAGCAGGCTCCTCACAGGGAGCCTGATGCAGGACTGACTCCATCCTGGGTCTCCAGGATCACGCCCTGGGCCCGAAGGGGGCGCTAAACCACTGAGCCACCCGGGCTGCCCTATATATACATTTTAAAAGGGGGTGTGGGAGGACTGGACAGAGGGGGAGAGTAGACAGAGAATCTCAAGCAGGCACCACACTCAGCTCTGAGCCTATGCAGGCAGGGAGATCATGACCTGAGCTGAGACCAAGAGTTAGAGGCTTAACCAACTGAGCCACCCAGCTACCCCCCCACCCCCCTCCCTTAACTTTGTCTTTAAGTCATCTCTACACCCAACATAGGGCTGGAACCTGCAACTCCTACATCAAGAGTCCCATGGTCTACTGACTGAGGGAGCCAAGAACCCCTAGCACATTTTAAACTCATTATCAAATAGCTCTGATCAGTGTTTTCGCTATAAATATCTCACAGTAAGTGCATATCTTAGTATTAAAAACTTGAAAATGGCTGGGTGTCATTAATCCAATAAAAAAGCTGCCTAGGGATCCCTGGGTGGCGCAGCGGTTTGGCGCCTGCCTTTGGCCCAGGGCGCGATCCTGGAGACCCAGGATCAAGTCCCACGTCGGGCTCCCGGTGCATGGAGCCTGCTTCTCCCTCCTCCTGTGTCTCTGCCTCTCTCTCTCTCTCTGTGTGTGTGACTATCATAAATAAATAAAAATTAAAAAGACAAAAAGAATCAAAAAAAAAAAAAAAAGCTGCCTATTGGGCAGCCCAGGTGGGTCGGCGGTTTAGCGCCGCCTTTGGCCCAGGGCCTGATCCTGGAGACCCGGGATCGAGTCCCACACAGGACTCCCTGCATGGAGCCTGCTTCTCCCTCGGCCTGTCTCTGCCTCTCTCTGTGTCTCTCATGAATAAAAATCTTAAAAAAAAAAAAAAAAAAGCTGCCCATTTCACTTGCTCCAGCTACTGGCCTTCGGTGAAGATGGCGAAAACAAATGCACATTGCTTGGCAGCATGACCCCCTTAGTTGCAGGGAACATACCTCAAAGAACAGAGTTTTGTTTTTAGGTTAATTAATTAATTATTTACTCAGACACAGAGAGAGGCAGACACAGGCAGAGGGCTCCCACAGGGAGCCCGATGCGGGACTCGATCCCAGGACCCCGGCATCACCACCTGAGTGGGAGGCTGACCCTCAGCCATCGAGCCACCCAGGAGCCCCTGATTTTAGGTTTTCTGAGCACGTGGGGCGTCGCAGGTTCCCCTTAGTGCTGAAAGGCGCGGCGGACCCGGACGCTTCCTAACCAGAGCAGCCGTTTTCAAGGCACCGAGACCCAGGCTCAGGGCGACAGCTTTCCGGTCCCGCGAAGCGCCGCCGCGCGGGAGCTCGGGGTGCGAGCGCGCGCCCGGCCCACCTGGGGCTCCGCCTCCGCCCGGGTCGCGGGGGGCGGCGCGGGGCCGACGTCACCAGGCCGGAAGGGGCGGAGTCGCCGCCACTGCGGCGGGAAAAGAGGCGCGCAGGAAGGCACGGCCCCGCGGCAGCCCGCCGCCCGCCGCCCGCCGCCCGCCGCCGCCGCCGCCCGCGCCATGCCCGCCCCCGGCTCCGAGCTGCAGCGCCCGCCGTCGCCGCCCGCCGCGCAGAAGCCGCGCGCCCGGCCGCAGCCGCCTCCCCACGGGGAGCTGCAGTACCTGGGGCAGGTGGAGCACATCCTGAGCTGCGGGGCCCGGAAGCACGACCGCACGGGCACGGGCACGCTGTCGGTGTTCGGCTTGCAGGCGCGCTACAGCCTGAGAGGTGACCGCGCGCGCGGCGGCTGGACTCGGGGGGGTGGCGCCGGAGGGGGCGGGGGCGGGCCGGGCCGGGCCGGGCCCTGGGACCTCCGTAGCCCCGCTCTGCGGACCCCAAACAAGAGGCTCGCGTCAGGGAGCCGATTTGCGTAACGTCACGCGGGCCGGAGTGACAGCAGTGGGAGGTGAAACCGGGTCCTTTGGCTCCGAGGCCTGTGCTCCAGATCAGGCGTGGACACAGCGGACCACTCTGGCCCACGAGCGGACACGGTCCGGGGTTGTCCGCCTCCCACTAGAGACCGGGACGGGACCTGCCTGGGCTGGGCCACGGGCTTCGCTGCAGATCCCCCTTCTTTTTTTATTGCTCCTCCTTCTATCTCCCCGTCCTGGCCCTCGGTTTTGCAAAGTATTTAAAAATCGGAGCGAACGAATAAGGTCGGGTCAGCGGCGCGCGGGAAGAAGGCGCGAACGGAGAGGGGCTGGGCCGGAACTTGCGGTTCCTGTCAGTTTTTCCGTCTGGGCCTCACGAACCAGCTCTCCTCTGAAACCCTGGAACAGGAACGCCAGAGTCCGAGAAGTTCTTCTTCGCCCTTTCCATGCATACAGATGGCTCCTGGAAGCTTCCCGAGGGTCGTTAGAGTCCTGCTTCCAGGGGACACACAGTGGGGGTGGGGCACAAGACAGGTACCCTTGACACAGGTCGGGGGTGGTGTTGAGGAGGGAAACTTTACTAATATTATTTTTTAAAGATTTTATTTGTTTGTTTATTTATTTATTCATTTATTTATTTATTTATGAGAGGCACAGAGAAAGAGAGCACCAGCGACACAGGCAGAGGGAGAGGCAGGCTCCACGCAGGAGGCCCGACGCGGGAACTTGATCCCGGGACTCGGCCACCGGAGTGGGACGAAGGCCCTGGGACTAAGGCGGCGCTAAACCGCTGAGCCACCCGGGCTGCCCAGACTTTACTGTTAGTAAAGCTGATTCCCTCCACCCCAGGCCCATCCTGCAGACCAGAAGCTGCCCAGGCCGCAGTGGCTGGTCGGCCTTAGACAGGGATCCACCTTCCTGCAGCTCCACACAGCCGCCTGGGAGGAGCCACAGACCTCGTTTTTCCTCCAGCCCATCTGCCTAGACCGTGGGCAAGTTACCTCTCTGGTCTTCAGCTTCCTCGTGCACTTAAAATAGAGGAAATCAGCTCAGTTGGCAGCACTGATAAAAGTAGGTGCTTGAAAAGCACCTGTTACACAGATATCAGCCATAAAACTGATGAGGTGAACTGAGTAGGTACCGAATTTAGAGAAAAGCTTTTACATTTTGATCTCTCTGTTGCTTGATGCAAATGTGTATCTATCTTCCCCCCTGGTGCCTGGAAGAGGGAGATCTTAAGGATGTCTCAAGGAAGCTGGTTTTCAGGATTCAGTAGGGTCATGCATACCAAGTATTTAAGCAGTTACTATTTTACACTTAAATAATAGAGGTTAATTTGCCTTGCAAATAATGAAAACTGTTCTCTTTGGCTTTGGTTAGTGTGATATCTACTCTTCCCTGGACTTGAGCCAGTTTTCCTTGGCAGGATAATCATGGAATAGCCCTGGGAGCCTTTAGCCTTTGTCCTAGGGCACATTTTGTGTGTTGTCTAAACACCTCCGCGAAGGAATCACGTGAACTGGGAAGTGGATGGTAGCTGTTTTCCTATCCACATGGGCATGCCTGCCTGGCCAGCACCCCATCTCACCATGTGGAATTCTGTGGTGGTCAAGAATTGAGGAGGGCAGTCTCAGTCTGAATTGTGTCACTGAATTGCGCTGTAGCCTGGGAGCTCTACCCCATTCTGGGGCACCCATGTGATTCAATCACACTTTTCTAGTTGGTCCTTGGCAGCTCAACAGCCTTAGGTCCCAGGACAGTCTTCCTCCACAGAGAAAGTTGGATGAAGTGTTTGTTCTCCTTTCCCGTCTTGAAATTATCTTGCAAACTGTTTTTCAGATGAATTTCCTCTGCTGACAACCAAACGTGTATTCTGGAAGGGTGTTTTGGAGGAGTTGCTGTGGTTTATCAAGGTAAGGAAGCTGCTGCTATTGGAATCAGCAGTCTGTTCTCAACCCAGCTCCAGTGAAATCCTTCTACAAGCCCAACCATGTCACTCCTCACCTGTCACCCTTAGTGGTTCCCATTTCACTCAGTAAGAGCTGGGGCCCTCACCTGGGGCCTTTGGCCTAGCTCTGGCTTCAGCAAAGTGGCGCTCACTGTCCACCCATCTGGCCTCCTTGCTAATCTTTGAGTATGTCAGGACATTCCCACCTAGGTTCTGATGCTTGCCAGTCTTGCTCCCTAGAACCTTCCTCCCCTAGATGTAGCATGACTCACTCCCCTACCTTCAAGTCCCCACTGAATGAGCCTTCCCTCACCTCCCAATCTAAGACTGTGATTACCCCCCGACATACACACACCCTACTCTTTGTTTTCTCCATAGAGAAACACCATCAGCTGATCTATAATGTCTACCCTCTCCCTTTCCCCATACAAGGGGGAAGGTAGACAACAAGTAAACAAGTAAAATGTATTAGAAGCTTCATAAAGGCAGGAAATTTTGTTTTTTCTTCATGTTTATATCCCCTGAGCCTAGAACACAGCCTCCCATATGGTAGGTACTCAACATAGATTGATCACTGAGTATAGATCCCAGCTATGTTCTCATATTTGTATAAGCTAGAAGGATCTGGAGTTACAAGCTGTACTTCTTCCAAAGGGCCAAGTAGGTACCTCAAGCAAAGGCTGGAGTGCTGTGACGATGGACAGCTTCCTCTCGCTCGGTCTCCTGGTCCAGATCAGTGATGTTCTGGTCAGTGCTGGTCAGAGGGTGCCTGAGTAAATGGGCTCAGTTGTGGGCCGTGTAGAAGCTGGGATCCCTCCTGCAGAGCATCAGTGTGGCTTGTATGGCCTTTGGCCAAACCAGACCCAAGACTTCTTACTGCATTTTAGAAAGGGTTTATTTAGGTTTGGATCTAATCTTCCTTACTTTCATGTCCTTGAGGTATTTTCTTCTGTGTTATCTTACCTCAGCTGGCAGTGAGTATCTAGTTCAGGTGTGTCATCAGAAACCTCAGAAGAGGCCATTTGTAAACCAGCTAGAGCTCAGTCTGAATGGATGAAAGGGGAGGCATTAGAAGCAACATGGGAGGGAGCACTTAGATGGCTCAGTCAGTTAAGCATCCGACTCATGATTTCAGCTCAGGTCTTGATCTCAGGGTTGTGAATTCAAGTCTTACATTGGGCTCCACACTGGCCATGGAGCCTACTTTTTTTTAAAAAAAAAAAAAAAGGAAGAAGGAACAATATGAGAGAGATTGAAAAATTACTTATTGGAGGTGAAAAAAATAGTACAAACTCAGAAGGGTGGAAATGAGATGCTCAGAAATAAAATGCATTAATGCGGGATCCCTGGGTGGCGCAGCGGTTTGGCGCCTGCCTTTGGCTCAGGGCGCGATCCTGGAGACCCGGGATCGAGTCCCACGTCGGGCTCCCGGTGCATGGAGCCTGCTTCTCCCTCTGCCTGTGTCTCTGCCTCTCTCTCTCTGTGTGTGACTATCATAAATAATAAATAAAAATTAAAAAAAAAAAATCACATTTTAAAAAAAAAAAAATGCATTAATGCATTCACTGATTTTATCTTAATTTAGCTTGAATTCAGGATTCTAAATACTCTTTACTCAGACTCACCTCTGGTAGAGTTGCTACCTGGGTAACTGGATGAAACACTGGGGTCAAGATGACCCCACACTGCATCTGGCATCTGTGGGCAAGATGGCAACGTGGGGCCTGTGCCGAGGTTCGGATCTGTCGAGCACTGAGCACTTTGCTTGTGTTCTTTAACCCTCACAGTAAGATGTGTGGGGATAAGGCTGTGCTCTTCCACGGGTGGGGTAGCGAGGCTAGGGGGTCAGGGAGCTGTCAGGGGAGAGGGATGATGGAGGGCAGGCACGGTGTGTGTGCTTGCTTGCTTATCACCATTACAGCATATCATACCCAGAGGCTGCTGTGAGTTCTGTCTTTGACCTGGATGCATGATCAGGACACAGGTTAGGATGATATCAACCAAATCTAAGGAGATAACATATAAGAAAAAAACACAGGCTTATACTTGGGGGAAAAAAAAAGCCCACCTTAACTGCAAATACAGGTTGGAGTAAACATAACTTCACAGTGGTACACATGAGATAATATGACTGATAGATTTGTAAGAAAAGCCGATGCTGATTAGGCCAATTAAACATCCTATATACCAGATCTAAGATACATTGAACAGATTGTAGGTGAGGCATTAAATGCATTTTCGGGGAATCAGGCTTAGACAAAAAACACAATTGGTTGAAAAACAGAGCTGTTAGGTGAGGTGGGAATAATGAAAGGACTTGGAGGTGTTTGATCTAGAATGTTTGGTTGAGAGGAGTAGAAAAACGAATTGAAAGGGTATTTCCAAGAATCACCTGTCCTGGAAGTGATTCTGGGAGACTGTCCTAGCGGCCCCCAAAAAGTTGGGGCCTTGACTGGCCCTTAAAGATAGGACACGCTGTTCAGGACACGTTGAGTGCCTGTCTCTGGTATGTTAGCACAAGCCAGAGGGGAAATTGGTGGAGGCTCTTAGGGTGTCAACTCCTTATGGCTCAGTTCACTTGGATATCTCCTCTGCTCTCCTGTCTCTTCCAGGGATCCACAAACGCTAAGGAACTGTCTTCCAGGGGAGTGAAAATCTGGGATGCCAATGGGTCTCGAGACTTTTTGGACAGCCTGGGATTCGCCAACCGAGAAGAAGGGGATTTAGGCCCAATTTATGGCTTTCAGTGGAGGCATTTTGGGGCAGAATACAAAGATAAGGATTCAGGTGAGAAAACAAAAACGAAGCCTGAGATTTCCTGAGTACCCATCACAGCGTGAGTTTGCCCCATCGTTTTGAGTGAAGTTGCGGGTGGTAAGAAGCCTGTGTCTGGGGAGTTGATGTATAACTTTGACCTCGTGAGAGGCTGTTTCAGATTCAGGTAGAAGTCAGATCACACTCTTGGTTGTTAGCATTTATTGGGTGCTTGGTACTTTCCGTACTGTGTTATATTAGCAGATAGCAACATAGTTGGATGGTTGGATGCCATGCTGGAGGATAAGGTAGGGGAAGTTCATCTAGGGAACATAAAGCCTCAGGATTGCCTTATGGTGGCTTGATCTCCCTTTTTAAGACTGCGCCACCCAGCACATTTTAGCTGGTGTCTGTGTGATAGCGGTTTTTAGATCACCCTCTTCTCCCTGCCCTCCTGGGTTGGAAGAAGATGAAACATCTTATTCCTGGACGTCTACCTTCCTTAGTCACTTTGCTCTGGTTCTTTTCTGTCCTGCCTATCCATAGGTTGCAAAAGCTAATGCTTAGCTTCCTCAGGGGGTGTGTGTCTATGTGTGTGTACACACATGCATAGGAAGTATTAGCTTGCTGGTTGGATAGTAACCATTGCTAATTTTAGCACCTCTAAATTTATGTAAGCACCACAACCAAAAGCCAGAACTGTACTATCACAGTGCATCTTTTTCTTAATCTTTATTACTTTTTCTGAAGCTGTGATCATGACAGGACTTTCTACCCACCCCCCCCAAAGTTAAGAACTACCGGACAGAACATAGTCTGACACCAGTAAGAGGAGGTTTAACCTTCACATGAAGCTTCACATGAAGCTCTGCACTTCTCAGATGTTGCAGCTTTCCAGTTCCATTTCAGAAGGAAGGCGAGGAATTAAAGTCCAGAGACCAGAAATTGGAGAAAAGTACAAGGTGGTGTGAGAGTTACAGAGGTTTCTTGATGTTTATAAATCAGGTGTTTTGCTGCTAGATTGTAATTTAGGTAGAAGTGTTGGGAGAAGAGGATCTGGAGCATAGAAAGGAGTTCACAGTAAGATCCAGTACTTTCCGTGGCAGCAGAGTGTGACAAGAATGGTTGCTGGGCATAGAGATTGTTCAGTGGGAACCCCTGGAAGAAACTGATTGCTGGGATTAGAGAAAGTTAGCAATGGGGGAGGGGTGGCACGATGACAGATTAAATATTTAAGGGACTCTTTCACAGAAAAGAAAATAGACTTTGTTATGGCTCTAGAGGATAACAGCCTTACCCTACAAGATCTGAGGAATTTGTAGAGTACATTAAATATCCTGTAGCATGGCCACAGAGGGTTGTGGTAGGACAGTGATAGATGGCCTCTAAAGCCATCTCACAAGATGCTGTGATTGACATATAGGTGTGTCTTCTCTTTTTTGACAATTCTACAGATTATTCAGGTCAAGGAGTCGACCAGCTGCAAAAAGTGATTGACACAATCAAAACCAACCCTGACGACAGAAGAATTATTCTGTGTGGTTGGAATCCAAAAGGTTGAAACCATTCCAGTTATTCTCTTATTTCCTAACTGTACCATTAGCACAAAGGGAAGCCATGTTGCCTTGCATGGAGGCCACTGCTAAGAGGCAGGACCCTGGGATCCACTCCCAGCCACATGGCTGGTGTGACGCTGGGCAAGTCCCACTTGGGCCCATTTTCAACTTCAGATGATGGAGCTGGGTGAAGATGATCTTAATGTGTGTATTTATACTTGTTTTACTCGGGGGGGGGGGGCTTTAAATTACCTATAAAAAATATACCTAGGATTTTAAATACAGTTTGAACTGGGGCAGGTGAAGTTTCATATCTCCTCCATCTGGCTCTTAACCTTTTAACGTTATATTGTAAAATTAAACTCTACCAAGGTGTAATAAGTATTGGCCAGAGTGGAAGGTTTGCTTTAGGTTTGAATAGAGGAGGGTGTGCCAGTTTCCTGTGGCCCCTGGAAATGAATTCATTTCTCCCATACTGTAGTTTGGTGCCATGAAGGTGGCACAAATAATTTGAGCTTGGATGATTGTTGCTTTAATTGTAAACATTATCTGCAGGAGTCTTCTGTTGATGGATGGGTCACTGTAGGCATTATGCCATCCTCAGGATTGGAATGGGTGCTCTTGACATGGAGAGGGAGGTGTGGGTCATGGGGCAGTGGCCCAGGGGCTATTTCTCTTGATCTCCCCTGTATGACTTTGCTTCTGTTTCTCTCCTGTTTTAATTTGTGGGTAGCTGCATTCCTTAAAACCACGCATGCCTCATTTTCCTTTGTGCTGGTTCCTCAGATCTTCCTCTGATGGCCCTACCTCCGTGCCATGCCCTCTGCCAGTTCTATGTGGTGAACGGTGAGCTGTCCTGCCAGCTATACCAGAGGTCAGGAGACATGGGGCTGGGCGTGCCCTTCAACATCGCCAGCTACTCCCTGCTCACCTACATGATCGCACACATCACAGGCCTGAAGGTGGGCTGCTCTCAGGAAAGAACGGCTGCTGTCAGCCGAAAGCGCTGAGCGCTTAGATTATTTAATGTGGAAAGACTGATTGCAGAGAAGTCAGTGTCTAGTTTTAAAATGTGACGTTAGAAATCTAGTTGGTCACCTGGCAAGCTTCCAGGAAGCTATCCTGTCTTTGTGGTTTGTATAACAAACAGGTTTAGATAGGTTATTTATAACACAAGACAACTTTTGTGAATATCAGCTTTTCTCAAAAGCTACACTGGTGAAATTATTTTCTGAAAAGCCTTGGAATGTCTGCATAGTCTACATAATGTGCTTTTTATTTTACATTAAAAGATTTTATTTCTTTATTCATGAGAGACACAGAAAGAGGCAGAGACATAGAGGGAGAAGCAGGCTCCATGCAGGGAGCCTGATGCGGGATTCCATCCTAGGACCCCAAGATCATGACCTGAGCCAAAGGCAGACGCTCAACCGCTGAGCCACCCAGGCGCCCCCATAATGTGCTTTTAAATGATGTGTCTTAAATTGAAACTAAAACATTTACCATTTTGCTTATTCTGGTGGGATCTAGCCAGGTGACTTCATACATACTTTGGGAGACGCGCATATTTACCTGAATCACATTGAGCCGCTGAAAATACAGGTAAGACTGTTATTTGTCACTATGGAGTTTGGTACCTTCTCTTGATAAAAGGCTCCCTTATAGAACATCCCTTGTGTAACAGACTGCTCTGTGCTGGGGCAGAAATAAGATGCCCTGCTCCGGCTGCAGGGCTTCAGCTTAGGGGTGTGTGGTGGGCAGGTGGGCAGGGACAAGGCAGACACATCTCAGGAACCACAGGCACTTAATGTGACAGTGCCCTGAGATACAAGAGACTACTGTGAGACAGAAAGAAAGAGCCCGTAGTTAGACCAGTGGGTGTGGGACCTTCCCAAGGTAGCATCTTAACTTATTTTTACTTGGAGAATTTAAATGGTGATGTTTTCCCTTTATTATGTTAAATGCCATACACAGGTATTAACTTTCAAAAGTTTGTCCAAATCCCAAGTTAACAGCAGCCAACAAATGATTTGAAGTGGCAATTAAAATGTGTCTAATGCTTAATGAGTCCCCAGAAAAAAAAAAAAAAAAACTGAACCGAACCCTTTGAGCCCCTTCCAGATGAGATCCAGGTTTTGAAAGTTCCTCCTTTGTGTGGAGCTTGGCTGCTTTTGTGTAGAGGGTTACTTCAGGGTTTACCCAGTTGCTTCTCTGGCTGTCTGCTCCAGAGATGCTGGACGGAGTAATGTGAGGTTGGAACCCATGTCCACATCCTCCTTGCCGCTATCTGTTCACGCCAGGAACCCTGGCTTGCATCCCTCTCTGTTGTCAACAGATGTCATCTTCCATCACCCTCTTTGTCAGGGACAGTTGAGATAGGGATTATGGGACTCAAATAACCATACTTGAGTGCCTAATAGGAGTCACAGATATGAAAGTAAAGACTGTGTCCCATCCTTAATACGTTTGCCAAGAGCAGTCAGTTATAAGATGAGCCACTAGGCTCCTCAGCTGGTGTGCTACCACCCAGACATCCTTCATTCTCTACATGTGGGAAAGAAATCAGTTGGTTACATTCCAGAAGTGTTCCATAAGCAGGGGCAGGTGTCTGCACTATTACATTCCAGTGAAATAATATTTTGTTGATAAAATACTATGTACCTGTTTCACAAGGAGCAGAATTAAAGCAGATTGTATGGATAATGGCAAAAATAATGGTCTCCTATTGTTTTTAGCTGCAGCGAGAACCAAGGCCTTTCCCAAAGCTTAGAATCCTTCGAAGAGTTGAGACAATTGATGACTTCAAGGCTGAAGACTTTCAGATCGAGGGGTACAATCCTCACCCAACTATTAAAATGGAAATGGCTGTGTAAAGTGCTTTTAAAAGAGGTGATATTCAGTCTGTAGGGGTTGACTGAATGCCCAGGCTTTCACTGTTTGCCCTAGAGGGAGGAGGAGGAACTAGGTAAAAAATCTCTCGGTGACCAGCAGCTATTATTCATTAACTTGTAAGATGTTGCCACTGGCAAAAAAGCTTTGAGTTTGGTTGACTCACTAAGGTGTGAAAGTGCCGAGTTTGGGAATAAAGTTAGGAAAGTGAACACTGAAATACACTTAAAACATGTACATGCATTTCAATCCGTTTTTATGAAGGTCTGCGAATTTCAAGAATTACACATCAGCTGTTCACCCCAAATTTGAGCAAGCTGAGTAACACCAGCATTCTTAATGTACAGTTGTGGCTATGAACATTTAAAGTTATTTGCTTTATATATTGCTGTAATAAATGTGTGTATTGCATTTGTGTTCTGCATTCATCTTTTTAAATTTTTTATTCTATATTGCCATTCTGCTCACTTCCTACCCTAAATAGATTTAACTGAACCCTCCTAAATAAACCTATGCTCTACTCATTTGGATACTGCTCAGAGGTTTAGTTTTTTTTTTTTTTTTTAATTTTTATTTATTTATGATAGTCACATAGAATGAGAGAGAGAGAAGCAGAGACACAGGCAGAGGGAGAAGCAGGCTCCATGCACTGGGAGCCCGACGTGGGATTCGATCCCGGGTCTCCAGGATCGCGCCCTGGGCCAAAGGCAGGCGCCAAACCGCTGCGCCACCCAGGGATCCCAGTTGTTTTTTTTTTTTAAAGGTATTTTTTTATTTATTCATGAGAGATACAGAGACCAAGGCAGAGGGAGAAGCAGGGAGCCCCGAAGTGGGTCTCGATCCTGAGACACTGAGATGGCAGCCGCTCAACTGCTGAGCCACCCAGGTGTCCCAAGGTTTAGTATGTTTTTTAAATGCTAAGTATTTTGCCCTATATTTTTTCTGTGGTTCATCTAATTCTGGCTGCATTTATCATTAGCACATGATGATTATTTAGGATAAAGGTTTATTTAAAGATAATGGGAAAATAATGGATGAAATGCCATTTTCCTGCCCATTCCCGCTGCCATGGTTTCAGTATGGTATGAATCCTCTACTAACACACTTAGCCCTGGAGTAGTTTAGCCTTTCTCTTGCTCAGTCTAATCCTGTGAAAACCTTTTACCTTTGTTACACACCAACTACCCCATGGTACTGCAGAACTATTTTTACTATGCTAATTTTTGACAAGTGTTAGAATAAGGCATTGTTCCAATAATTGTGCAAGCTGCTGCTTATTTTCAAAGTACAGTTTAATGTCTAGGTACCAGCACTGGATAGAAATTTTGTTAACATCTTTCTAGACTTTGAATTCAATCTAAATTTGTTCAAGGATTAATTAGGAGAATATGTGTTTATTTGCTAAAAGAATCAAGGAATGACAACTGAGCTGATTTCTGAGGTTACGAGGACTTTTAGATGAACTTGTTTTGATTGCTAGGATGATCCTTTCCCTTGTTTTTACAAAAGCATACCCAAAAAGTTTTTTAAGTTTTCACTTAGAAAAGAGTGTTAGGGCTGAACATTTAATTCTCTTGAGCAGCAAGGAGTTTCTTCCAGACTTCACCATCTGGATATTGGTGTTTCTTCACAGACTCCTCCTTCATTTCTGTTGAATAACCAGCATCCTATCAAACAAAAAGTTGAGTCATGTCAATAACCACCTGGAACAAAACTCTGCTGCTCGTAGGAAGTTTTCAGATTGTTTGAAATGGAGAAGGATACACTTTACTGGCTACATCTCAGTATTAAATTAATCATACTTCCTTTGACAATTCAACCTCTGTCAGTGAAAATGACATCATGTCTTGGACATGATGAAGATAAATGGTCCAGATAACATCTGCAGTTAAGTGTTTCAGTTCAGTAACATGCTAGATGGTGTCAAGTTTTGTTTTTGTTGTTTGGGTTTTTTCGGGGGCGGGGGGCTTGCACAAGAAGTATACATTTTAATGCCTCCGCTGGTGTTGGGGAGAAAGGCTGGCATTAGAGAATCCTTTTCAGGGCAATTTCACCCTCGACCCCTGACCTTCAGGCCTTGGTTATTTGATATTGCTGTAATTTCTGATATTGCTGATATTCTGTAATTTCTAGATACTGAAAATTAGGAGATAGCTTTGCACTCTAGTGTCCAACCTACAAGAACAAATATACAGGGGCTGGCCCCTGGCCAAACTCACCTTAGGAGGCATATAGGATGCCTTCTTGATTATCACAGGATACCTGAAATGTTCATGCAGGTGATCGACATACTCACACATCCTAGGAGGAAGGACTTGGATTAGGGCAATAATGTCCCGTTAGATCATTGGTGTGGCACTGGGACGAGCAACACTAAAGAAAGGGCAGACTTCATCAGGCATGTGTTTCTATGCAAATCTTTCAACCTCTGCAGATTCTTTCCCTCTGTAAAATAAAGCACTGTGAGGGGTCCAACGAAGTCTTGTGGGGGTAGGGGACCAAAAAGTTCTCTTATAACCCTACAGATTGTGCCTGACTTACCATGGTTTGACTTAAGATGTTTCGACTTCACAATGAAGCAAAAGCCGTATGCATTCAGTAGAACCGTACTTCAAATTTGGAATTTGGATCTTTTCCCAGCTCATCATGATAGGCAAGCCGATCCTCCCTCTGATACTGGGCTGTGGCAGCAATCCCATCAACCCACCAGCGTGAGGGTCGGCAGCGGATGGACTCAAGCGACTGTCTGAGCCACAGCACCGTTCTGTCTCACACTCTCAGTATCCAGCAAATTACATGAGCTGTTCAACATTTTATTTATGTCAGATGATTCTGCCCAGACACAGGCTAATACGGGTGTTCTTTTTTTCTCTTTTTAAAGATTTTATTTATTCATGAGAGAGAGGCAGAGACAGGCAGAGGGAGAAGCAGGCTCCATGCAGGGAGCTCGATGTGGGACTCGATCCCAGGACTCCAGGATTACGCCCTGGGCTGAAGGCAGGTGCTAAACCATCAAGCCACCCAAGGATCCCCTAATAACAGATGTTCTGAGTATGTTTAAGGTGGGCTAGGCTAAGCTATGATGTTCAATAGGTGAGGTGCATTAAACACATTTTAAGGGATGCCTGGGTGGCTCAGGGATTGAGCATCTGCCTTTGGCTCGGGGCGTGACACTGGGATCCAGAATCGAGTCCTGCATCAGGCTCCCTGCATGGAGCCTGCTTCTCCCTCTGCCTTTGTCTGCCCCTCTCTGTGTGTCTCTCATGAATAAATAAAATCTTTAAAAAGTCAAAAAAATAAACACATTTTAAAATATTTTCTCAATATATTAGTATTTATCGATGTTGGGATCAATATATTACTATTTTAATATATTATTGTGGGTTTATTGGGATGTTAAGCTATCTTAAGCCAAGGGAGATCTGTAAAGGTTTTGTGACCCCAAAGGCATCAATTTAGACTCTCAATATCTGGGATTCTTTGGGTGCCTTTAGCCAAAACTTAGGTGAACAGATTAAAATCACTAAGTGAGATCCCATCCAGCTACACACATGATTTAGAAAAAGCACAGGTTTTACTATCAGTCCAATCTGTTCAAATTTGGGGTCAGCTACCTTCTAGTTTTGTGAATTGGGGCAAGTGACCTAACTCCAATACCACACTTTGGTCATCAGTTCATGAACAGCGAGGACAGGCCACCAACGTGCCCGGTGCTGGTAACTCACAAAGGAACTGGCAAGACTGGGCCATGTGGTTTCAGTGAACACAGATACTAAGTTACTGACTAGGATATGCGTTATGTATAATCTATAAAGGACAGGCTACAGAAGAGCCAGCCCCATGGGAGAGGACATTCTGGCCCTAAAGAATGTGCAGGGACTGGGTGCTCCAGGCACAGAGCAGAGGTGCTCCGCTCACACGGTAGCATTCCCGAGCAGAGCAGTGGCATGAGGCACCCTCGCCCACTTGAGGGTGGTCACAGCACACCATGCCCTGGGTTTGCCCCTTTCTCAGCCCTCAAGACTTGCAGGACCTTGCAAGGTTGGACTGAACCTCCCCTTGGTCCCACCTTCAGGACTGAAGTGAGAAGGAGCAACAGCAGAATAACCCTGGAATGTTCACTTTTTATCATACATAATATTTCTGAAATAAAAGGCAGCATCTATGTACTCAGCCTCCAACTTCAGAGAGAAACCATTACCTTATCACCGAGGCCCCCTACCAACCCTTACAGGTCCCATTTCTTTCCCATGGTCCCATATTTGGTATTTACTATTCCCATGCATGTATTAGTGCCTCCACCATATAAAGATCACGGCCAGTGATCTTTCTGTGATACCACATTTAATTCTAGGAGGAAAGAAATGTGTAATTAAGCTGTATGTGGGGGTGTCCGGGTGGCTGAGTCGGTTAAGCAGCCAGCTCTTGATTTCAGCTCACCTCATGATCTCAGGGTCCTGGGGCCAAGCCCCACGTCCAGCTGGCTCTCGCTCACTCTCTCTCAATCTCTCCCCCTCTGCCCCTCCCCCTGCTCGCTCACTGTCTCTGAAATAAGTCAATCCTTAAAATAACAAGATAAAAATAAAGCCGTATGTGTGCAGATAACTGGAAGACTGTCTTAGAGTTCACCTGAGACACGTTGAGAAACAAGGTGGAACTAGATGCGAGCAGATTATAAAAGACTCCAGCGCTGGTACCAGGACATTGGACAGAAGCAGAGAATATATGTATGATGAAAGCAAGGCTTTAAAAAGGAAAGAGTTCTGGGGGCTCAGTCAGTTAAGAGGCCGACTCTTGATCTCAGCTCAGGTCTTGATCTCAGGATCGTGAGTTCAAACCCTGCACTGGGCTCCATGCTGGGTGTGGAGTCTACTTAAAAAAAGGAGTTCTGGTTTCCAAGGGTTCCTCCGTCCCACCCACCCACCATGTACTTAGAAGACAAAGGTGGCTCCCAAAAACCCGCGCCTCAAAGTTCTATTCACTGCTGGGGCACAGTGTAACTGCTCCATATGAGAAAGGGGAAGCAAAACCAGCTCGGCCTCTGAGTTCTAGGACATGGCAAAGGACAGAGCTCTCGGGTCTCGAGAGCAGAGATGCAGAAGGTCTGGGTGGACTGCAGGACACTCCTGAAGTCAACTCCACATTACCTGTTCTGAAGGCTTGCAGAAACGGATATGAAGTCAAATATAATCAGGTGCTGAACCAGCTCACACAGGCCAACGCCACCAGCATGGGGGCAAACAGGAACTACAAGAAAGCCAGATTTGTACTTAATGCCAAGCAGGGTGGGGGTGGGCGGATGAAAAGAAACCTGCGGGTTTTCTCATTGTCTGCAGGTGATTAGATCATTCTTTATTATTCAGGGATGAAGTTCCAGGACCAAAATCATCAAAGTTTCCCTGATTAGGCTGAAAAGAGGGTCCCCACCAGCAGGCGTGCGGTGGGCGGGACGTGGAGCTTTGGTTTGGTGAGCAGCCCTCACTTTCAAATTTTTTGGCCATCAGCAACACTGAGAGGTTTTCATTGACACTTCCCAGCCTGCAGCTGTCAATCTGGAGAAACTGCAGGGCTTTTGCTTGTAGGAGTTGCTTAAATATCACTCTATTGTGGCACTGGAAACAGAAGTAAAATAAAACCAACAGAAGAGTCAGCTTTGGCTTTCAGGGCCTGCAAACCTGGCAGTGCGCCAATGCCAAGGCACTCAGCACGGGCCTTCAGGAAGCCAGGAGTCTGTCTATTCTTTGTTCTCACCTGGCACGAAGCAAGTCCTGACAGTACTGACCTTACTGCTCCCCGCTTCATCAATCTGCTAGTGGCGGGGTGTGAGTCACACCAAAGTCACGCCGGCCTGACATCTATTAAGGAATAACCGTTAGAGCGGCTGGCAAGTGGGAGGCAAAGCGGAGCATCAGGAAGAAATACGGCAACGGCGGATGAGCAGGTGGCTCAGATGCCAGAAAGCCACGGCTAAACAGCATTGCTCCTTTTGCTGGGAGAACCGAGAATCTGTTCCTTCACACTGCTCTGCTCGTGGGTGGACTGCCGCAGGTTTTGGCAGGCGTTGGGACTTCGTTTATAAGCACAAAGAGTGAACGCAGTAATGTTTATTCAATTTGGAAGCTGGCTTTCCTAAAACCATTCAGTGCATCTTATGCCCTTGCAGGAGCAACTTTATTTATTAAAGATTATTTATTTGAGAGAGAGAAAGAGAGAGAGAGAGAGAATGCAGGGGAAGAGGCAGAGGGAGAGAATCTTCAAGCAGACTCCCTGCTGAGCGCAAAGCCCAATGTGGGGCTTGATCCAGGGACCCTGAGATCATGACCTGAGCCGAAGTCAGACACTCAACCAGCCCAACCACCCAGGCGCCCCTGCAGAAGCAGCTTTAAATTGCTGCCTTGTAAATTTTAATTAGATACCTTGACAAAGATTAATGGCCTTACATCATATAAATCGTAGCAAAAAAATATAAACTGGGGATCCCTGGGTGGCGCAGCGGTTTGGCGCCTGCCTTCGGCCCAGGGCACGATCCTGCAGACCCGGGATCGAATCCCACATTGGGCTCCCGGTGCATGGAGCCTGCTTCTCCCTCTGCCTGTGTCTCTGCCTCTCTCTCTCTCTCTCTCTCTCTCTCTCTCTCTCTCTATCATAAGTAAATTTAAAAAAAAAAGTTTAAAAAAATATAAACTTTTGACTGTATCTGACTCCAGGCTCTAATGATGTGCAGTAAAACATCCCAAGTTTGGAGATGAAAACTTCCCAACCCAAAGTGGCCCCGGTGACAGGGCTTAATGTACACTGGTGTCCTCAGTGGGTGGCCATGTGCACCGACCCCAAGGAGATGACACTTACCTGTTCTCCTGTGGCAACACCAATTCCTAACGGGGCCAATGCCTATAAAATATAAAGCAACCTGGTGTTATTTTCCTAAGTCTTTGAACTGAAGCTCTCAATGTTTAAAAATATTTACAGTGTTTAATTACTGAGAGCTGAAGAAGGAAACGTCCCTGTGGCGGGGCTGTGGGGCGTGTAAGGAATGACAGAAGGTCGGCAAGGGGCTGGGTGTGTCTGCCCGTGAGAAGGCCAGGACCTGTCCAGGCGCTGCCATTATGTCCTTCCTGGCCGTTCTTCTGCAGATTCTCCCCACCGCCCCCCTTCGGTGGTCCTTCTAGAACAATCTCCCTTCAAGCTCAGTGAGTGGCCTTAGATTCACTTTACAGGTCCGGCTGAGTTCACTCCTACAGGTGAAATCCTCACCTGGAGAATGCTGGAGTCTACCTGACACAGCACAGTTCTCTCTGTTTTCCCACCTCACCCCCTCCACCTAGGCTGGGGCTCTTCCCTTCCCGGCCCCACTGGGGATGCCACAGGCCCCTTCCTCAAGCACCTTCGGTTTCTGCCCAGCTTATCTCCCCATGTTTAGGGAGTAATAACAATGGCACCAACAGCTAACACCATCTGAGCTCTTACTGCCTGTCTGCTGGGGTTTGAAACCCTGACTGAATGACTCCCCGTCACAGCCCATCGGGATAGGGGCCACCATCGTCCCCATTTCACAGGTGAGAAACAGACGCAGGGCAAGTAAGCAGAGCTACAAAGGGTACAAAGCTACAAAGCTGTAGAACTGGGGATAGAACCCAGGCCAACACCATCGCCAGGGGAAGCATCTGAACCACTAGATAGGAAAACTTCCCTCTAGAAAAATCTTTAATTTGGGAGCCAGTTGTCCCCGCCCCTGCTACCTGTCCTGCCTCTATGTGTGGACGGAGGTGAGTCATGGATCACCCAGAGCTGTGGCCTCCTTGTCCCCAGATCAGGAGTTAAAGTGGATGGTCCCTGGGGCACCTTTTAGTTTCCTGGTATATGCTTCTTAGAAACCTCTAATTTAAATGAGTTCTCTATCTCAAAAAACCAGAGTGGGGAATACCAGCCATTTGCCTTACTCACTCTACCATTTTAGAGCATATGTTTCTGACACTAAATAGATATCAACTTTTATTTCTTCCTTTTAAATATTTCCTGAGGGCAGCCCTGGGTGGCCCAGTGGTTTAGCGCCGCCTTCAGCCCGGAGTGTGATCCTGGAGTCCGGGGATCGAGTCCCACATCAGACTCCCTGCATGGAGCCTGCTTCTCCCTCTGCCTGTGTCTCTCCCTCTCTCTGTGTGTGTCTCTCATGAATAAATAAATAAAATCTTTTAAAAAAATAAAAAATAAATAGTTCCTGAACCTTCTATCGTCGGGCTGCCCTCTCCCTCCCTGCCCACTCTCCGAGATCACTGGGAAAGCCTAGCTCTGCTTTCTGCCCGTACCACACTCCCCTGTTCTCCATCGCAATCCATCCGGCATGTTTTTTCCAGTCAAATCTTTAATCCCATCCTCTCCTTCAGAACAGTACAGTGGCTCACAGTGTTGGGCTGCGTCTTCTGCACAGATGGACTCATCCTCAGTCCCAGGGACCCGTGCTTCCCACAACCCCCCACGTGTACCTCAGCTGTGCTGGGTATCCCCACGGCCCCGCCTGTGCCTGCTGTCTCTGCAGCTTCCCCCTCCCCCGCCCCGGTCTGTCTGTGCCCACTTCATGCAATGACTGGATGGCCATCTCCACGGGCACAAAACCTCAGAGGGCTGAAGCCTGGACGAGCTTCCAAGGAGACTCGTCAGGTGGGGGTGGAGGGCAGGTGCCGGTCCTTGCTGTGTGGGCAAGCGGGCAGCACTAGGGCATGGCGACCCAGAAGAACCCCAAGGTGAAAGTCTTTGTCAAACTATGGCCTCTCACCAGATTCTCATTTCAGAACGACTCCTCAGAAGCTTTCAGGTCTGTTTAAGCCAACAGTCACCCCGACCTTGGTGCAACTCTGCTCAGGACCAGCTGTTGCCTTACCTCCCGAGGGCGCTCCACCGTCCTGGCCCACACCTGTGTCTCCCTTCAGTGACCTTCCTTCTACTCTCTCAGGACTCAGGCCCCACCCAGCATGCCACCTATCTAGGATTCACATGTCTTCCTTTCTTTGCAGCGAGGCTGTGACGTGGGAGGAACGGAGGGCATCCCTCAAACACAGGCTTCTGCGCAGGGCCCGACATCAGGAGCTCCTATGTTCATGGACTGAAAGGAATGGAGCAGGATGGCCCCAGTAGGACCCACAGCTTCACACAGGGCACACCAAGGTGTCCCTCCCAGAACTTGGAACTGACTGTCCTCAGAGTGATCATTTTCAGAGTAGGGGAGAATATAGCAATGCAGAGTCAGCTCAGGGGGATCGTCTGCTCCCAGGCAGGCAGGAGTGGACTATAAGGCCAGCGAAGCTACGTAGGGGTGAATGCTTCCCCGGGAAGGGGTGACGCTTAAGACTCAGCGCGCCCAGTGCCACGGGCAGGCACATCCGCGCTCTGTGGATGGATGCTTGGGGCCTCCTTGGACGACATGGTCGCATATTCACATCAACAACCTGCCCTGATTTCTCGCTTATCCAAAAGCCTTTGGTTTAATGTGGCTCCTCAGGGATCTTGCTCTGGTCTGAGGATACAAAAATCTAGTGCTCCCAGAAATTGGGAGTTCTCTTTATAAATTTATTACCTGGCATTCTGGCTTTATATACATCAGCGCCAGATACCTGGCTAAAGGGAGACGCTTCCTGAAAAAGGATGTTCCTCAGATATTCTGATGTATCTGGGTCTCCCTAAACCCGACAGGTAGGGAACCTGGGTGGATCTGTGATCTGTGCGGGAAGTGCCCCGGTGTGAGGGCTCTAGGCAGCCTTCTCTTGGGGCGGCCTGACCTTGGCCTTAGCGAAGCGAATCTCGTCTTTTGGGTCAACCAGAGGAATCTACACTTTTCATTCTGGGTGAATAAAATATTTTAATATCAGTCAGATTTCTATAGTTACAAAGTATGGAGCCATGTCTATTAATCTTTGGATTGCTGGCAGCCTTTCAACTCTTAGCAATATACTATCTCTAAAATAAATAGAAATGTTAAAAGAAATAAGCAAAAGAATTTTAGGATCTGTCATGGCCACTTCAGAAAACCAACCAACAACAACAAAAATTATCTATCTACCTAACTATCTCAGTAGTGTCAGGGGCAAGAGCAGTTTTTCTACCTTGGAAATGGTGGCATGTCCCAGAATGTCATCAGGGGAGGTGGGCTCCTCAATCCACAGTGGCTTGAACTCAGCCAGCTTTGACATCCACTTTACTGCCTCAGGCACATCCCAGCGCTGGTTGGCATCCATCATCTGCAAGAAGACAGAGACCCTTCACTGTGCGGTCTGCCTGCCTGGTGTTGACTTGTGACTATGGCTCTAAGCGAGGAAATGCTGTCACTTGGTGCCACTGACTACTGATAAGACTTCTGGAGGGAGCCTGACATTTCCTCCACGGAGGACCAGCATGCAGCCAGCACAAAGGTGGCCAAAGAGCAGCCACCAAGACTGGAACTGTGGCTCTTGGAGGAGATGCAAGTCACTCACAGAGCTACTGTGATGTCCTAAAGTGCCCTGGGCTAGACCCAGAAGTGCTCAATGGCCCTGGAGCTCTGGCCCAATCTTCACTTAGGTGGCACCCAATTACATTTGTCTTGCAGTATTCATTATTCTGGAAACTATTTTATCACATTCTGAATCATGCATCACCAATTCTGAATTTGATCACTGTTCATTTATCGACTACTGCTAACTATGAGTTTGGCACAATTATAAATAACCCAAACTCTACTATTAATGAAGCACCTACTTAACTGGCCATTTTATGGATTTTGTCCCCTTTAGTGTTTACAACAACTCTATGAAGCAGTTCATATTAACTCAGTTTACAGAAAAGAAAATTGACATGCAGAGCAGTTAAGGAATTGGTCAAGAACAGTAAGTCACGTAAATGACCTTTGAACTCCTAGGTCCCGGCTCCCTGGAAGCCAGGTAGACGCTAAGAAAGGGCCTCTCCATCCCTGACATTACCATGCTTACAGAAGACAGATATGGAGATGGACATGGTGGTGTGAGGTCCCTCAGGGGATACTATGAGGACCAGAGGACAATATATCTAGAATCAATCTGCATCACAAATTATTTGGATAACGATGGCCCCATTAGACAAAAGTTGCAGTAACTCGTGTATAAATAGTAGCAGTTCTGATCCTAACTCAATGACTCAACTTTTATTTTTGTTAACTTAAGAAATACACCTCCAAAAACTTCACAAAAACATTTCATTGTAACTTCATAAAAATATTTTACATGGAATAAGAAACATCTTATAAAAATATGTACTCAGGAATGCGTGATCCTTACATTTATCTCAGAAAAGTTTGGCATTTCTTCAACCTTGGCTCCCCGAGAGCAGCGTACGTGATGAACCAGGCAGGACATGTTTGTTAAGGGAAATCAAATAATGACATACCAGGACACCAAGGGGGGTCCTGTTTGCTCAGGTGTATCCGTGCTAGCAAGAAGGAACAGTCCCTAACCCAGATCTTACTTAAGAGTTCTGCAGAACGGAAAAATTTAAAACTATCAGCTCCCTCAGTTGCTTTTTGTTGTTGTTGTTTAAAGAGCTGGCCCACTGCAAGACCGCAGAGATATGCTTCCTCTCACATTCAGCTTAAAATTCCCAATGTGCTTTACTCCTTGCTTGAAATAAGCTCTATTCTGGCCCAGGACACAGGCTTCATACGAAGCTGCTCTTTCTCCACGGGAGGGGAGGACATTTACCAACGTGTTTTCAGGTCCAATCATGTTCCGGATGAGGCGGCACCTACGGACGTCATCCTGGAGATCAGCACCCACTTTTACCTTAAACCTAGAAAATAAATGTGGTCTGGTAGTAGGGTCTGTCCCCTGACGTGGCAAAGACATGCGGGTTCTCTGCAGAAGCGGCTGCCTCTGCTGGTAACGCACAGGTCATGTCTTCTAATAACCTCTTGCCCTCTTCCCGCTGGTCTCAGACAAGCCACTTGAAAATGACCCTGTTCCTGCACAGGGGCAACAAGGCTACATCACCCGCTGGCCCGAAGTCGGGGGACCAGGAGAGCAGTCAGATCTCTACCCACACTGAGTTTTTGCTGCGGCAGGCCGAGCAGTGAGGAGCAGGAAGCCACGTTCAGAACTAAGGCGAAGAGGGAGGCTGGGCAGAGGAGCCGGCCCGTCACATCCTGAATGTCTGTTTTTCTCTTTTTTTAAGGATTTTATTTATTTATCCATGAGAGACTTGGAGAGAGAGGCAGAGACACAGGCAGAGGGAGAAGCAGGCCCCACGCAGGGAGCCGGATGTGGGCCCCGAGTCCGGGCCCCCAGGATCACGCCCCGGGCTGAAGGCAGACGCCCAACCGCTGAGCACCCGGGCGCCACCACCTGCTGAAAGTCGAGTCTGACAGAACACCTCCACCTGGGATCCCGCGTGGCGCGGCGGTTTGGCGCCTGCCTTTGGCCCAGGGCGCGATCCTGGAGACTCGGGATCGAATCCCATATCGGGCTCCCGGTGCATGGAGCCTGCTTCTCCCTCTGCCTGTGTCTCTGCCTCTCTCTCTCAATCTGTGACTATCATAAATAAATAAAAATTAAAAAAAAAAAAAACAAAACACCTCCACCTGAGCAGCCCCTCGCGGCGGCTCCTCCTTACTCCACCCAGCGAGAGGCGGGCCTCGGGTGCGGCCAGGGCGGGAGGCTGGGCACTCACGTGACCCGGTCCCAGAATGAGACGCAGCAGAGGCCTCCCATACCTCATCACAGCTGGCCACTTACAGGGAGCCCCCTTCATCTGTTTTGATGCCCAAATATTCTCCAGAGCCGGGCCTCTGCTCCCTATGACCTCAGGCCTCGGGTCAGTCGTCAGGAGAGAGCGTGGCACGGCCTCACGGAGGCGACGGCACCACCGTAGGGGAGGCCAGCCTCCTGTCCCTCACTCAGGGATTGCTCGACACTCTCTGCTTTGCTCGATGCCCACAGAAGCCGTGCTCATTGCGTACACTCTGGCATCTGCTGCTTCTCTCCCCCCACTCAGCGCTAACGCACTAAAGACGCCGCTTCCCTCCCACATGGGAGCTTCGGTTCCCAGATGCCCGGCTTCTGTGCCAGGAGGCCTCCACCCTCACTCCTCAGCCTTCTGTGACTCACCGGCAACAGCTGTTCCCACCTTTCCTGGGCACATGGAGGGCAGGAAGGGACAGACTGACTGAGCACCTGTTATAAATCCCAGGTATTGCAACTTTGAGGAGAATCACGAGTTAGCATTATTCCCATTTTATGGAGAAAGAAAACGAGGTTTGCAGAGGTTGAGCACGTTGCCCATGATCATACAGCAAGTACTTGCAGAGGAAGAAGGGAAAAGCCAAGGTTGATTCCAAATCCATCACATCCCAAGCCTCTTTCCACTGCTTCATGTTGCCCTCTTCGAATTCTCGCTCCCCAGCTCTTTATTTAGTGGAGAAGTCAACAAGAATTCAGTGCCTCCCAAACTTGAACATCCATACAAATCACCCTGGAAATCCCATGGGATCTTGTTAAAAATGCAAATTCCCGAGCAGCAGGTCTGGGAAGAGGCTGCAGGGTGTGCATTTCTGACTAGCTCCCAGGAAATGCTGATGCTCCTGTTTCACAGGCCACACTTGAAGCGGCAGCAGGAGGTTGGAGGCCAGGCCGAGGGTCAGAGAGCCACTGCAGGTGAACTACCACAGGCAGGACATGGACTTTTCTTTTTTTTTTTAATTTATGCCACTGAGAGAGATTTATTCTTCCATGAAATAAAACTATAGCACTCTGAACTATTTAGAGCTGCAATTCCATCCAAGATTTATGTTAAGATTTTTCTCTTCATTCAAAAACAAGACTCCAAGAAAAAAAAAAACCTCAGGGGAAAATATTGAAAGCCCTCCAAAATAATTAATTTTGTTTACTTCTGGAAATAAAGGCAGATGCTACCACTTTACACTGACAGGTGCCACACCATGGGCTCATCCACACAGGCTCCTCCTTATACAACTCGTACTGCACTTAAAATGATTTGACACCGAGAGGCTCATGGGGACCACCACATCACGAGATGATGGTCCAACTGTGTCCTGGACTGTGGTAGGTTTGGGGGCCAATGACAATCACCATTTATCCAGAGGAAGACCCTCGGATGTCCAGGGGTCCATATTCACACAGGAGAGAGACAGGAGAGAAGAGCCAACAGTTGGTCTAGAGAGAACAGCATGGGGAGGACTGCCACTCGAGGAGAAGAGGAGGCACCTGGAGACGCCACAGAAAACTGGAACCAGTGACTGGAAGTTCTATGGAAGGGAAAGGTTTTAACACACTGTGCTCTTTCTTTCTTTCCTTTTTTTTTTTTAAAGATTTTTTTTTTAAATTTATTTATTCATGAGAGACAGAGAGAGAAAGAGGCAGAGACACAGGCCGAGGGAGAAGCAGGCTCCACGCAGGAAGCCTGATGTGGGACTCAATCTGGGGTCTCTAGGACCAGGCCCTGGGCTGAAGGGGGCGCTAAACCGCTGAGCCACCTGGGCTGCCCCACTGTGCTCTTTCTAATGCATGGAGCCCTCAATCCATGCAAAAGCACCTTACAAGTTAGGCTTGCTGCCTCTGCAGATTTTCAAGTGGAAGCTGAACCAATGCTTATTACTGACAGTAAAGAACAGATTTCTATGCTAGACTGATGCTTGAAAGTGACAATCTTCAAGGTCTGTTTCAGATCTGATGTTCTAGGATTCTAAATAGGATTCACATCTCATCTTTGGAGAAAGAGACTGGCCTACGTTGAAACCTCTCCCATGTGTCCCTACGTGTCAGCCTGTTCCTGGATGAATCCCTGGCCTCCTTGCTGCCTTTTGTTCCTGGCTCCTCTCCACTGCTAGCCTGTCATGTGGTCGATGGGAGAGTGAAATGCATCATCACACAAACAAGTTACCTGGTCCAGCCAGCCTTCAGTGCCTCTGTGCAGAGCTGTGGGGAAAGGAGCAGAGCCACCATCATACACCAGAAAGCTCTCTTTGGTCTTGTTTTTTTTTTTATGATTTTATTTATTTATTCATGAGCGACACAGAGATAGGCAGAGACATAGGCAGAGGGAGAAGGAGGCTCCCTGCGGGGAGCCCGATGTGGGACTCCATCCCAGGACCCTGGGATCATGACCTGAGCCAAAGGCAGACACTCAGCCACTGAGCCACCTGGGTGCCCCAACTCTCTTGGGTCTAATGAGTACCCCGCTTGTCTCTGATCTGGTTTCACGAACACTATGGCCGCAGCATGAACCAGATGAGCAACCTGGCATTGGTGAATTAAGAACCCAAATAGCTTAGCCAACAGAGCATAACTCTTTGTACTTGTAGGATGACATTCTTTCCTCATCTCTATGGGAACAATTTCTTTAATTGTTCAAACATTCCTAGAAGAGAAATGGAGCATTTATATCCCCTTCCTCAAAGCTAGGATATTCTGCGGCATCCACAGAACTTACTGGATGTAAGAAAAACAAACAGAAACCAGTCTTTCTCTCAGCTGTGAGTACAGCATGATGGGAAAGAGTCATAAATCAATCACACGCTGAACCCAGTGTGTGTGCCAGCCACTGGGCTGCGAGTATCACAAAACTCACAGCATTATTCTGAATCCCCCAAACCACCCACAAGATACGTATTATTTCCCCATTTCAGTGAGGAGACCGAGGCTCAGCATGGCTCAATGAACACTGCCCAATGTTACACTGCTGCCTCTGCCTGGAAATCAAATCCCAGGCTGTCACCTTCCAGAACCCGAGGTGGGACCTACTAGGTCACAGAGTCCCATACCCGCAATGTGAATGGCTTTACTTTGCTCCAGTATAAGTACTTTTGGAATAAGGCCTTGGATCCATAATGATTTAGAAAGGCTAACAAGAAAATTTCAGAAAATCAGGAATATCTTTGTCTCCAAAACCAGGTTTGAATGCCCACCTGCTTCAGCGTGTCATCCGAGTACCCCAGCCAGGCACACGATGTGGTGTAGGCAGGGTAGCCGTGCATCAGCATTTGCCCTTCTGTGGGAACACAGTGCTTGTCAACATTGTGTGCTTTCCAGGGACCTTCAGAATTACAACTGCCTTTAGGTAAGCTGCTGCCCCAGAGAATCCAGCCTCCTTCTGATCCCGCCTTTCCAGGGTGCCCAGCCCCAAGCCCAGCCTCTGGCCACATTCACGACCATGCAAATACCAAGGATGTCAAACTAGCGCAGGTCTTCCTATTTTGTCACATTTGGGAAGCTTCTTCATCCAGATGCAACCCTTTGTCAGAAGACCTGGCTGCTGGGCCCGGGGCATTGGGGAAGACAGTGTGAATGAACCCCAAGTGGACACAGACGCTCAAAAGGACAATGAGAGCAGAAACAATGAAGGAAATTTCCTCACCACCCACCTCTCTCTTTTTTGCCAACCTGACCTTTCTGCAGTATTTCTGGAAAAAAATAAGAAGTGTCATCACTTTTTTAGAAAACAAAGTGTGCTACTATGTTGTTTGTACATTGGCGTGTACCAGATAACTTTCAGTTCCATCATTTGAGTATGACTCACCATAGGCTTCCTCCTCAGTCAGGACGTCTGTGATGTATCTGAAATCGATGCAGGATAACAGCTTCCTGGGGTCCTGGCATCACGATGGCAGAGGGGAAAGGCCCAGAACAATTCACAAGCAGCTTATGATTTAAGGATGGGTTTACCTTTTCTGGGAAAGGGCCTTCACAATTTGCGTTAAATTGTTTGGTTCTGTCATTCCTTGGTGTAGAGCCCTTCAGAAGGTCAGTGCTGCCTTTCCAAGATGTCCTCAGGCCCTCGTGCTGTAACCCCACCCCACCCCCGCTGCCCCGTCCCTTCCCTTTCCTGACACCTAGGCTCTGGTCACCCTAACTAACCTGGCTGCTGGAGGACGGACCCGGCAGGAGGCAGGCACCCATGGCCCTCCGTGCATCACTGCTCCACACTCCGGGGCTGACCATGATCTGGGAGCAGCTCAGCAGGAGAGGCAAGAAGGCTGGCTGGTCTCAGAGCCAGGCCCTCCAGGGTCAACCCCGTGCCCACCGCTTATTAGCAGCCTGACTGTGGGCCATTTCCTCTGTTACATTGGGACAATTCGCCGACAGGAACAGAATGGATTCAACACGAGCAGCTCAGCACACGGCCTGGCCCCGGCCCATCAATGGCTGGCTGTTCTCACCCCACCTCTTCTTGCCCCTCGTCCATTGGTCTGGCCAGGCTGGCAGGGCTGACGTCCTCAGCTGGCCTCTGGCTGAGACCTCTCCTCATCCCAACCTAATGGTTGGGAAGCAACCGGTCGCTTCACTCCCACTCAGATTTTACTGTCACCAGTAGTACTCCACTGGTCTATTAAAAATCGTGAAAGCTTTTTCAGTGCTGAGATTCTAACTCTATCAAGACAACTGGCCCCTACTGAAACAGGAAATAGGATCCAAAAGAATGAAGGCATCTCTCTAGAGGCCCGCAAATCATTCAGTTTTGGAAGCTGCCTCTTACACACGTCTGAAAGGCTGACCTTGAGCCTAAAGATAACTCACGTCCTTCCCCTTTGGATGGGGCCCCCATGCCACCTGCATCCATGTCAGATGTTGTGACATCCTCCTGTTTTTACTTGCTCCGAGAGAAGAAGCAATGTTTGTCCACCTACAGCCTGCAAGACCATGGTGGTCTTTTGTGTTTCCTTAGTGGAATGCCGGATAATAACAGAGCCTTCATCTGTTGACTACCAGAATTTTAGCAACCACACAAGACATCACCCTGAGGCAGCTGATGCTCAAAGAGGTTAAGTGACATGCCCAAGGTCAACCTGCAAGCAAGTGGTGGAGCCCAGATTCAAAGCCAGGTCTGCCTAGGTCTGAACTTGCCTAGACTTTTTTCCTCTTCAGATGCCAGGTGCTCGACCAGGCCAGAAACATGCCAAGGATAAAGGAAACATTGAGGTGCATATCTTTAGCATTTGGCTCCTTCCCTTCCGGAATCAGACAGTGGAGACTACAACAGTCTGATCTGTCACTTTCTTTTAAATTCAAAGTGACCAGATGATATCTTAATAATATACTAATATAACAATTACATTATGTTATATTATTACATGTTAATAATAACCTCTTGCTTTTCAGGAAGCACTTTTATCAGTCGGTCTTCAAACAAATTCTTTAAGGTTCTCGGGAAGTAAGTAATGACTATCCCCTTTTCATAGTCAGGAAACAGAGGCTCAGGGAATTTGCACTATGCGTGAAAACTCCACAGAGTAGGAGGCAGGACCTAAACTCTGCTTCCCTTGGACCACTGTGTGAGCACAGTCAGCTGTTACTTCAAATATCAGAAAACAAATATTAGAATTTACTGGGTTTTTGCTTGATCATCATGACAGTGATCTAAAGACAATCCTGAATATATTTACTGATTATCAAAAGGCAAGTAATCCATGAAATCCATCTCCTTTACAACATTATTATAATTATTTAACATTATAATGTTAAAGAATTTACTTACCATGTCAACAAGCAACTTCCACAGAGGCTTGGAAAAAAAAAAAAAGAATTATAAAATGTGTGTAAAGTACTCATTTTTTTCCTGAAAGTAAATACAACCTCCTATTTCAAACACCTGCCCCTGGCCCACCTGCATGCCAGGGTCTCCAATGCTGCCTCCTAACCCATTTCTTTCTCAGCCCTTTAAAACCTACTCCTATAGTTTCCTAACTACTGCCAAGGAGAAAAAGAATCAAACACTTCTCTATATTTCTTTGGAGACCTTCTGTGTATGTCCTTTGTCTTCAGATGGCTGCTCACAGAGGAAGTGTTTATCCCTCTGCCACGTGTTGGATTATTCCACAGAGCCCCACAAGTGCTCCTTTGATGAGTTACCTTTCCCTCCTGCTTGGCCCACAGGTCCCACACAGCGTTGAGAATGGCTGCGGTAGCCAGATGCACAACACCTTTCTCAGGACCGATCTGGTTAGGAAGCAAAACACCAGAACTTCTTAGAAATGAAAGAGGTATTTAGGTCTCCTAGCCAGGGACACATTTCAAGAATTAGAAGGCATCAGTAAAAGCTCATGTAGAGGTTAAGTTTTTTTTTTTTTAATAGTTTCTAACCTATAGAAAAGTTGCAAGAACAGCAAAAAAGCTCTTGTATATTCCCCCCATATGTGCATATGTATATACATATACATACACACATATATAAATAGAATATATATAATATAAAATAAAATTTATTTTACTGAACCATTTAATTTGCAGATATATATGCTTTTTGGACCCTAAATACTTCTGGGTGTAAGTCCTAAAAACCAAAACATCCTCTCACATAACCATAATAGTACTATGATCAAATCTGGGGAAGATAAAATGATAGAATACTGTTGCTTAAAAGACAGTTCATAATCAAATTCTGCCAAATGTCTCAATAATGTACTTTATTAACATATTGTGTTCGGTTGTCCTCTTTAGTCTCTTTTTATGTGGAACAATTTTTATTTTTTTAAAAATGCTGTTGACATTTTTAAAGCACACAGGCTGGTTGGCTTTTAACAGTGTCTCAATTTGGGTTGATCTGGGGTTCCTTCATGATTGGGATTCAGGTCATACTTTTTGGCACAAATTCTCAGTAGGCAATAATATTTTGTTTTTTAGGGCTGTTATCTTTCAGCACTTAGATAAGTCAGTGTCCACTGGGCTGCTCTATTGGAGATTACCATTTTCCCTTTCTAAGTAAGGAGATTAATACTGTCCCCAAATGTGGGCATCCACTGGTGATTCTTGCCTTGATCAATTATGGCTACAATATTTGCAATACGGTGATTGTCTAACATTATCCTTCCTTTTACAGTACGTTTGTATTCTAAGGACAAGCTTTTCCTGGTTGCTTAAGACCTAAATGAACTCATGGATTCTTATGTTATTCAATGAGTTACAAGCCATTACTAACGTATTTATGTTGATTCTTAAATTGTCCCAGATTTGGCCTGTGGGAGCTTCTTCAAGGGAATGCCTTTATAAGCAAGTTCAACTTGCTTTGCAGAAAGTTCAAAATAAAATCCAAGGCAATATGGAAAGTGTCTTCCCTTGTGCCTTTCTCCATGCATGGACAAGAGACTGAGCAAAGGTAGCAAAAGATAGAGCTGATGTCAGGAGACAAGGGTAAGGTCCCGGGTATTGGACTGAGCTTACTGTGATAAAATCCTTTCCTCTAGAGCCTCACTCTTTTCATGCCTTAAACTTAGGGTTCAAAATATAGACCTATACATGTAAAAGTGCCCTGGTCTCCATCTTCTTAACTTTATTCTTATGTTTCTGGATTTAATAACTTCCTCCCCCAAATCCAGGACTATCCACATTATCTCTCCTCTAGAAAGGATGCCCGATCAGTACTTTATCTTCTAGAGGGTCTAGAACACTTCTTCTATTCAAGCAGTAGAGTGGAGAGGAGGTCCGTAAGGCTCCCAGGATCCAAATATGTCCAGATTCAAGTCTTACAGAAAGGAATCAATTAGCTCAAAACACTGTCTAAATGGTTGAAGCCCTAATTTATCTTAATACCATATTTTACCTTAAAATTGTAAGCCTGTTTCTGTTTTCACATTTGGTGCAAAGGACATCTTAGATCTTAGTAACATTACTTATAGAAGCATTTGTTAAAATAGGCCCCTTACCCATCTGAGCTGCCCATCACTTGTGAGCTGCCTGTAGAAGCCTCTGAAGTCGCCAACAATGTCACCGAGGTCCTTGTTAAGCACATGGTGGGCGAGGGCATTCACAGCACAGACAACTATTAAATAAAGATTCGATTCTTGCGTATGTTTTGGTATGAAGTCAATAAATTAAGACATGAAAACACCACAAACTAATGTGGGCATTTTATGAAAGAAACTTTAAACACAAAAGGTACGTGTTTTTAGAAACTGCCCCAGGGCACCCCCGTGGTTTAGCGGTTTAGCACCACCTTCAGCCCAGGGTGTGATACTGGAGTCCCGGGATCGAGTCCTGTGTCAGACTCCTTGTATGGGGCCTGCTTCTCCTTCTGCCTGTGTCTCTGCCTTTCTCTCTCTCTCTCTCTCTGTGGGTGTGTCTCTCATGAATAAATAAATAAAGTCTTTAAAAAATAAAAAATTAAAAAAATAAAAACTGCCCCAAATACATCTTCTGTGTTTGTCATAAGTAATATCATACATGTAGAAGATCTATTAATCCATATGCTGAGCTTCATTTCTGAGTAGAGCTAACACATTTTGTATGTTTGCCAGGTGAAAAACAGAGCCATAGATACTAAGGTTTAAATCATATTCCCAATCTATTTTCTTGTTCACTTTGTGAAGTGTCTGTACATTCGGTTTCAAAACCGAACCTTGCTAGTTCATTTTTCCTAAGGAATAAAAAGATTCTGACTTACCACCAAAAAAGGAAGTACCTTCTAATTATTGTCAAGTATAGAAAATATCTTGAATTCATAATATAATACGCTATTTTTTAAAAGATTTTATTTATTTATTCATGAGAGACACAGAGAGAGAGAGGCAGACACAGGCAGAGGGAGAAGCAGGCTCCATGCCGGAAGCTCGACTTGGGACTCCATCCTGGGTTTCCAGGGTCAGGCCCTGGGCCGAAGGCGACACTAAACCGCTGAGCCACCCAGGCTGACCTATAACACACTATTAAAGATGAATTTGCAATAAGCATAATACATGTAAAATGTTAAAGTACATAAAAATACTTTTCTTAAATATTACATTTCTTCTTATTGACTTATACTATGTTTTTATGAAGTAATTTGAAGGTTACATTTAATTTGGTTCAGCATGACAACTGATTTTTTTTTTTTTTGGTATTTTACTTAAAAAGGATTTATTGTTATTTTAGATGAAGAATAAGTAGCAAATTGAATGGGAAACAGCCTTCTACCATTTAGTCATTCCAGAAAACACTTAGTCTATACATAAATGGCCAAAATAATCAAATCAAGTCATCTACTTAGCCCCAAAGCATTTAATCTGTTATAAATTTTTTGAATAAACTTGTTGCTTGGTGTTGCCATTTCTGTAATATAACTCAGATCATTTCATAGGACAGAGGTGCAATTTTAACTATCTGCTAGATCCTAGGGAAAAGACTTTCGAACTATTAGAAACACGCTCTCAGGACATGTCTTGTCTCTGTGGAACAGCACTCAGATGATTGCACACTTGATCTCAAAAGTAGCATTAGGGCTGGACCAACTATTCCGTGTTCTCTAGGGCTTTTGTTTTTTTTTTTTTTTCTTTTTCTTTCTTTTTTTTAAGATTTATTTATTTATTTATTCATGATAGACATAGAGAGAGAGAGAGAGGCAGAGACACAGGCAGAGGGAGAAGCAGGCTCCATGCCGGGAGCCAGAGGAGGGACTTGATCCCGGGACTCCAGGATCACGCCCTGGGCCAAAGGCAGGTGCCAAACCACTGAGCCACCCAGGGATTCCCCTCTAGGGCTTTTGTTAATGGGATATAGAATCATTCCAGTTCAGACATGCATTCCCTAGAACTGTGAGAGGAGAGAATCCTCCTCATGCCTAAATGGCTGGTGCTCTTGGATTAAAGACCTCTGAAGAGTCTGTCAGCCACTCACAGAGAGCTACACCACTATCGAGATAAAATCTCCATCTCATTGATGAGATGGCTGCTAGAAATCACTGATGAAACACCCCTCCAGTTGGCCCCACAAATGTAAATGCATTTAACACAAGTTGAGGATGATGTCCTCTTTTACAGCTTCTAAGAGCTGCAGCACTAATATATTCATCTCTAGTATGCAGATGGTACTTGCTCAAAAGGAGGGTACTGCAAGAAGGTAACTAGACTTTGGTGCATTCGACAGAAATTTGGGTTGGTCGTGGTCATCCAATGGATGGGACAGTCTACTTCAGGTGTGCTTTGCTGCCATGGGTGGGAAATTCATCTGGAAAAAACTAGGCATTGAAGGCAGTATCTTGCTGACCAACTCCTTAGGACCCCCTGGCACAGGAGGAACTAGTCAGTAAAGTCTGTGGATGACCATGGTGGTCTGAGCCCAAGGGCTGCTGTGAACCCTTATAGCTGCTTTTTTTTTTTTTAATCTCTTTAGAAATTCTTCTTTCTTCATCTTTTTTCCCTCTGTTTTAGAAGAACAGGGGGAAAAAAAAAAAAAAACAGGGCAGCTTGGGTGGCTCAGCGGTCTAGCGCCACCTTCAGTCCAGGGTCTGATCCTGGAGACCCAGGATCGAGTCTCACGTTGGGCTCCCTGCATGGAGCCTACTTCTCCCTCTGTCTCTCTCTCTCTCTCTCTCTCTCTGTTTCTCATGAATAAATAAATAAAATCTTAAAAAACTATATTGTTTTATTCTATACATTAAAAAAATAACTGTAACCCTCCCTCCCTCTCACGCACACATACTAGAACTGCCTTCACAGTAATGAGGAAACCAGTCTTTTTTACTTTTCTTTTTTTCGATCATAAAAGAATAAACAGGTAAGTAAGCTTGATGGAGGCACAGAACTGTGATGAGCTAAGGGAATTTTTTTTCAACTTGAGTGCAAATGCCGTGTAACACATGCAGATGGTGAGAGATTGTGGTAAATCACCTGAAATATGTAGCAAGGTCAAGGTCGAAATGGGTTCTGTCAGTTTGTGGTCTGCAAAAGGGGGAGGCCAACAACATCACCGCAAAAGAGCCGTGTGTTAAAGGCCCAGAGAGCTACATATGCACTAATTCCTGGCCGCGATGTCCATCCCAGGACAGCTGGGAGGGGACAGGGTCGGAGGAGAGAGAGGTCAGCGAAGACCCCAAAGCGCAGAGCTCAGCCAGCAGGGAGAGGAGCCCTCAGCCTCCCGTCTCAGTGACAGGTATGCAGGGTCCCTCCACTGTGTGCCTGAGTCAGCAAAGTCCAAAGTCTCAGCTATTAACAGAGTGTTCTGATGGCCAGTCCCATAACATATTTCGTAAGCTTGCTGAGTTTACGTGACCTTTGGGGGCCGCCCAATATGGTCTGCAATATGGAGAGGGCAGCTTCGTAAGGCACTCAGCTGACACCAGAGACCATTAAAGTTGCAGCAGAAGCTAACACAAAAACCTATCAAGGTCAGCGGTCACTGCCTTAGGGAAAACATTAACAGCAAATGGTTGACTTAATGGAGAGGGGGACAGGGAATCATTGTTGAGTCTCGGCCTGCTGCCTGGCAAATTCCTAGCTACCCTTCAAGACTAATCTCAAAGGCTCACCTCCATTCTGAAGCTGCCCAACACCCTCCCGGACAAGGAACTAACCCTCACTCTGGGTAACTTGTACCAGCTTTTTAAAAACTGTCCTTCTCACACTGCATGATCGTTTCTTTTATGTCTGTGTCCCTGAGAAGTTTATTCATTTCTTCTCTGTATATGAGGAACTCTGTCTCCTTTCTGTCTCTGTTATTAAAATTATTTCTCCAGTGCCTGACACATGGGAGCACTTGGGAGAAGTCTGCTATGGAACTGGCTGAGAGCACGACTGAATGCCAGCCCTGTGAAGAATGGAACCGTGGCCATCCTGGTGGTCTCCACTTAAAATGCAAGAAACATTCCCTCGTTCTTATACACACATACATACACACACCTTTCCTCTCCTTGATAATATTAAAATCTTTCAGTGGGGCAAGATTCATATTTTACATCTAAGGGAGAGCCAACAATGCAGATATCCATGGGAGAGGTACTGCATCACTACCAAAGGTAATCTGTTTCCTTCCTTCTTCTAACTATCATCATTTGGCTTCAGACCCTAATGATCCATTGAAACTGATCTGGCAAAGGTCACCTTTTTGTATTTCTTGAATTTTGTACCTTGTGAATGGACTATGTATTTCAAAACAAAAATCAAACAAATAATCTGTGTTTAAATATTATGGGAAGAAAGCACTTCAGGCAGTGGCTAGCTGAGCAGCTGTCTGGGCCTCATGTTCCTTATCTTTAAGAAATGAGGAGCTTCAAGACCACCACTGAGCTCTCACCAACTCTAAGAGGGCTTCACTCACAGCTCAATGTGCCTTCTGCACAACATGCTTTGCCCAGATGACAGCTCTGAAACTGGGCAGCCCAGAGGCTCTTACGCCAAGAAGAGCAGTGAACCTGAAACTGCTGGGTGTGAAGTACTTTGAAGAGCTCACTGTGCACATCACAATAAGTCTTGCCACACATGTGCCCATCTATCCCTGTCATGTCCCTCATCCGCCTGCCTCTCTCAGGCAGAGAAACAGGCCCAGATTCCCAGATACTCTTGCAGTCTAACCACTGCAAGGATGCGGACCGAGTTCAGCCACCTCTTCATTTCTTCCAGTGAAACAAATAACCACAAAACATTGTTTTTACTCACCCTGAGCAGTGTAAATACAGAGAAAAGTATGGTCACAACTGGAATCTAAGTGAAAATTAAGCATTCTGGAACCTTACAAGGATGCTCAACTCACCAACTTCTGTGCCTTTTCCCAGAGTGAAGGTAATTCCATACCCCTTGAGCCCATCTTCAGCATCGGTCTCTAAGACGACGTAGGCAGCCGAGTAGTCAGGGTCTGTGTGCTGCAGGAAAAATGTGCCCACCCCACCATGCAAACGTGTGAAATCCAAAGGTGCACCTCAGGACATCACATCCGATTAGAAAACACAACAGGGGATATACAAGAAGAGCTCCAGTCAGAAGGAAGCCTTGGTGTAACCCCAAAGGAAATGGAGGAATTCTGAATGGACAAAGGGGAAAGTCTTCCTAAGGGGTTCATTTTTTTTTTTTTTAACAAGGGCAATGTGTACATTTTTAGTGACAGTTTGCAATTATGCCTCCTCTGATGATCAGCTAAGATTTTAATCCAGGAGTTTTTGCCCAAGCTACCTCTGCCAGGTCTCTGCACAGAGCTGTATTCACAAGCAGCCTCCAGTGGAAGCAGCCAAGGCTTCAGAAAGCGTCATTGAAAATTAGACTTATCTCCGCTGCAGCCTGTAGCAGGGCTGAAAGGATAATAGCGCTGGTTTAGAGGAGGTCAGTGGGGGAAAACAAAGTATTAAAACCTCAAGACAAAGTAGCCCACTTTTGGTTTTGTTCTCTTTTTTAACTTTCCTTTAAAAAAACAGATTTTATTTATTTGAGAGAGTGAGCGGAAAGGAGCAGGGTGAGGGGCAGAGGCAGAGGGAGAAGCAGACTCCCTGCTGAGTAGGGAGCCCACTGCTGAGAGGCAGGATGTGGGGTAGGACGTGGGGCTCGATCCCAGGACTCTGACTCTGGGTTCACCATCTGAGCGGAAAGGCAGACGCTTAACTGACTGAGCCACCCAGGTGCCCCTTCACTTTCTACTATCATATGGTATTTTGCGAAGTGTTTACTGAGCGACTACTATGAAACTCAACACTACCTGTTGATATGAGGGATGCAGAAGTGGAAAACCAATCTGTCTCTAGAGACTTCTCAGAGTGGGGAGAAGAATCCAACATGCAAGAACCAAGTGAGGACAATTGCTATGACAGTGCAAGGTCATGCGTGGCTATGTGGTCAGTCAAGTACCATAGAAGAGCAAAGAGGAAGCAAAGAGGAAGCAGGGGACTAAGCCACTTGGATGGGCAAAGGGACAAGGGAAGGCACGGGGCAAGGGAGAACAGGATCAAAATCCCGCGCCTTGTGAGACAGAAGTGAAAAGGCCCCCGGGGGGAACCAGGTGGCAAGAGAATGAAGACAAGACTGGATAGATATAGGTAGTGTGGGGCAGGTGATGGAGAGCGCCGAAGGCCAGGCACAAGGTCTGAATGCATCAGTAAGGAATGGAGGATGCAACTTTGATGAATTTTGCATAGGGTGATGATAACCGATTACTGGTTTTATTGTTATTATTCTGATTACTACACGATATTTGTCGTTCTGGCACATTGAAAAGTGACTCGATTGAATTTAATCCTCATAACAGTATTATAATGTAGGTACTATTATCCCTATCTGACAGATAAGGAAACTGAGTTTAAAGAGGCAGAACTTGGGATCCCTGAGTGGCGCAGCGGTTTGGCGCCTGCCTTTGGCCCAGGGCGCGATCCTGGAGACCCAGGATCGAATCCCACGTCGGGCTCCTGGTGCATGGAGCCTGCTTCTCCCTCTGCCTGTGTCTCTGCCTCTCTCTCTCTCTCTCTCTCTGTGTGTGTGACTATCATAAATAAATAAAAAAAATTTAAAAAAATTTTTTTAAAGAGGCAGAACTTAAACCCCTGTGTTCAGGGAAGGGGAGGCACACATGGTAGACAGGAGGCCTCTGTCTGGCATCAAAGCCTTGTGGAGGGCATTCGGTGTGAAGGGTTGCTGAGCACCAGCTGTGTATCAGAGACTGTACAGTTTGCTGAGGTGACACAGACACATCTGCCCTTCAGAAAGTTATAGTGTAGAAGCCATGGTTACAGAAACTCTAATAACACGAGAACACAGTAAGTCTCTCGGAGAGATACAAACTGTGGGAGGCCGGCAGAGTGCTGGATGCACTTGAAGTTGCAGGAGGCTTTATGATGAAAATAGAATGTGAGCTGGTCGGTTCGTTGAGGATGGGGAACTTTCCAGCAGTGGGAGAAGGCATGAAGGACCTGGGACGGAAGGATAACTTAGGTGACCGTGGCAGTGAAGAGACAGAAATGGGAAAGACTGGAGTGTATTAAGGGTTGGTGACACCCTGGTTTGGCCACTGGGTTCTTGAGAGAGAAGATCCAGAAATGAGATCTGGGAATCACTGGCATACAAGTGGGCACTGAAGCTGTGCACACAGAGGGGGTCTTACTGGGAGTGGACAATGAGACAGGAGGGCCCTTGAGGCCTTCACCGAGGAAAGAAGGGGGCCAGTATAGGAAGCAGCGGCATCAGCCAGGATGCAGAGTGAGAGCAGAAAGAGGAGGCAGCCGACAATGTGACACCCAAACTAGGAGAAAGGACCCTGGGAGTAGAAATAACAAAGTCAATCCCAAGACAAAGAAGGAGACAGAAGGTGATTTCAGATGAAGGAGGAAGTAAGTGTAATGGTCGGAGGCAACAGGGATGAACCAGTAATTTAGAGTTTGGTGGGGAAGGAGCAGACACAGAAGGAAGAAGAGAGGTTAGGGTCAAGGAAAGGTGATTCCAAAGTGGGAATCCTTGTCTAGATGGGATAGACACAGAATCGCCAGGAAAAGAGATGGAGGAAGAAAACACTGGAGATGGAAGGGATGGGGACAGGGTGAGGGTGGGCTCGGCAGTCAGGAGGGTGGGACACAGCAGAAGAGATTTGACAGGACTCACAGAATAAAGGGGAAGAAAAGAGGGCTGTTTTGGAGATCGATGAGTGGAGATGGGGCCCATGGTGCCTTTGTCTCCAGTCTTCTCGGTGATGCAGTGGGCACCCCTCTAACTTCTGGGGGTGCAGGAATGGGAGCCGGAGGAGGGAGAGTGGTCCCAGAGCACAGCCACTCCCAGGAGCTCTGCAGACAATGAGGAAAGGAGAGGAAAAGTACAGCTGGCAAGTGGTGGGGGAGGTGGAGGAGGGGGGGGTAAGCTGGGCTGTGAGCCCACAGCCCTGGAGTTGTCTGGAACTTTGATGAGTGCCTCACAAGCAAGCAAAGTGTAAGTACAATGAGGGTCTGAGAACTCCCATTTCCTAAAAGGCCAATAAAAAAAAAAATCACAGCTGGAATCCTTTAACAGATTTAGGGACAGTTTCAGGACTCTTTCATGAAAATATCCTGCTTCTGGTCAGGAAGGCTCACGCTGCTGCTAAGTGCTGAACAGAGCTGAACTGCTGAGTTCAGCACGCCAGGAGGGCTTGGGAAGCAACACGACCAAGAACTGCAAAGTCGCACCTTCTATTTAGAAAGCACATGAGAATCGGCACACAACATACCCCGTATCTCTGGAAGATATAAATATAAGTATTTATGAGTGTGCGATACAGGTTATCAGATGACCTCTCCTGATCCTGAGGTCATAAACGACTCAAGGACCAGAAACAAGTTCCATTTCTTAAATTATTCTACTTAAAAGCCAGGCTACTTTAACACTTCACAAATTCAAAGCAGAGAAAAATGTAGACCAGAGCCTCTTCGACTTCCGTTTCCTCATATGTAATAAGTAATTATGGCCAATATTTTTTGATGGCTTTCTCTGTGTCAGGCACTTTACAGGCATCTCATTTAATCCTTGAAGCAGATATTATTATGCCCATGTTACTGATAAAACCAAGGCTGAAGAGAGATTAAGTGGCTTACCTATAGCTGCTACATGTCAGAAGGGCAAAGTGGTTGCATTAGGTCAGGTGTTTGAATTTTACAAGCCGGTGAAATCCCAAACATTTATTTGGAGATCCACAAAGGATTACCAACTGGGAGTTTTTTTTTTTTTTTTTTAAGTCATTTAACATAATACAAGAAGGAACACGAAGATTTTAAAAATCGCGAATAATTTAATCTTAGGATAAAGGACATACTTTCAAATGTAATAGCTTTGCTTAGTCAGCATTTTTTTACGATACTTATTTATTTTTCAATATTTCAAGGGGCGCCTGGGTGGCTGAGTCCCTTGAGCGGCTGCCTTCTGCTCAGGTCCTGATCCCAAGGTCCTGGGAGGGAGCCCTGCATCAGGCTCCCTGCTCAGCAGCGAACCTGCTCCTCCCTCTCCCTCTGCCATTCACCCTGCTTGTGCTCTCTATCCCTCTCTCTCAAATAAATAAATAAAATCTTAAAAAAACACATATTTCAAGTACACAAAGAGTATAGGTAATGTAATGATATCTGCGTGTCCTCCACCCACTTAGCCAACCAAGAGAAGGCGAATTCGAGTCCTCTGGTATTCATTCCCCTCTCTCCACACAGGTACCCGTAACCATATCCTAACATGGATGCTTTTCACTTCCCAGCATTTGTTCATACATTCATTACAGACCCACGTAATTCTGTCTCCCTGGTGGACTGAGAGGGGCAGTGAGGATCCAGTGGGCGACGGCCCTCGGGGAGCCCCAGGACAGAACTCCTTCCTAGATTTGGGAGCCACTCTCTAGTGAGACCGTGGTAGGGATGGGGGGTGTCCCTCCACGGTCGATAAGCAAACACACCCGTCAGTATTTAGAAGGCCCTGTGCCTCGACCGCATCTCCAAAGGCTGGCCGGCATTTGCCTCTCGACAGCGACAAATCCTTTCTAGCAACGTTTTCAGGCAATTTCATGAGAGCTCCCCTCCCGTGCCCAACGGCAGTGTGACTCCATTTCACAGATGGGCCCAAATGCCCAGGGAGGTTGGCGTCTTCTCTAGGTCGGTCACTCAGCGAGTTGCGGAGGGGGCAGCCCCCCGCCACGAACCCCGCCAAGGAGTCAGTGCAGAAGCAGTCGGGATGTGCCCTGGGGTTGCGTGGTTGGGGGTCCAACTAGAGCATTTCGCTGTTGCTGCGTATTACTCATTCTGCCAATTACAGCAAAATGCATTTCGTAAATGTGACAACAGGAAATGTTAACGTCGACAAGGAGAAAACTAACAACAGAAAGAAAGAAAGCCCAGGAGGGTGGAGAGTTTCTGGTTACTTGGATCCCCCTTCTCGGCCTCCCACGCTGCAAGAGCAGCAGTCCAAAGCCGGGAACCTGCGCGACCCGCCGGGCTCCTCGCGCCGACCAGGGCGCCCGGGGCGGCTCAGCGCTTACCATGGCGTCGGAGCCGTGGCCGCCCAGCGACGTGGGGAAGCGCACGTCGCGCACCGACAAGCTGCAGATCCTGCCCCGCACCATGTCTCTGCGCGCCGGGAGCTGCCCGCGGGGCCCCGCGAGCGGCGGGAGGGGCGGAGCCCGCCTCCGCGGGCGCTGATTGGCTGCGCGGGCGCGCCGAGGGGCGGGGCGGCCGGCTCCCCGCCCCGCCCCCCGGGCCCCGGGGCCGCGCCGCCCCGCCCCGCCCCGCCCCGCCCCCGCGCGGACTCGCTCGGGGCCGCGGTGCACCGAGACCGGGGGGACGTTCCGCGCGGCGTCGGCGCCCGGGCGGGCCCCCGCTCCGCCCGGCCTGGAAACTCCTGGAAGTAACCGTCCGGGAGCGGCGCCCGAGAGGAAGGAGCGGGATCTGACTACAGTTTGATCGCCTGGAGCCACAGTTGGGCCACGAGCTCCAGGCTTGACCTGAGGCAGCGGTCATAGGGGTGCAGCCCGGGGAGACGCTATAAAATCTTAGGTGTGGGACGCCCGGGTGGCTGGCTCAGTGGTTGAGCGTCTGCCTTTGGCTCAGGGTGTGATCCCGGGGTCCTGGGATCCAGACCCCATCTCGGGCTCTTCTGCAGGAAGCCTGCTTCTCCCTCTGCCTGTGTCTCTGCCTCTCTCTCATGAATATTTTTTTTTTTTTAAATCTTAGATGTCTTTCTTTGACCTCAGCCCCAGGTTGCTACCTGATAAATTGAGAAACAAGTCATGTATTACACCCCTTCTGATGCAGTTACCTGCAATTTAGTACGTTTAAATACGTTACCTCCTACCGTCCAGCTCTGCAAGGTCATTTCCATTTTACTCGTGAAGAAATGGGACTCAAAGAAATTAGGTGGTTTAAGTGAGGCCACACAGCTAGTTAGGTTAAATGGTAGTGTGTTCTGGCTGCAAATCCTGGGCTCTGTCCTCTGGACTGGGACTCTAAGAGGGAACATGGTAAAAGCTAAGGAGGCACACTGATCCTTTGCTTTCAGGTGCAGCACACCCCCTTTTATATCCTGTGGGGAACGCCTTGAAGAATAAATGAAATGTTTGGGAAGCACTGCTGTAGCTGTTATTCTATCAATTTGTGTCTCTGTGGGTAGGGCAGGGACATCTTCAGGGATGCTCACATCACCTCTGCTCCCCAAGAATGCATATAACCCTGCTGGATGAATTCCTTTGGCTTAAGGCTGCAGATCTGGGTCAACTCAAATGCCTACTGAGGCTGGGTGGGCCCCCACGGCAAATAGGAAGGAGTGAAGCAACAGGGCACTATGACTGCAGCTAAAGGCCTTTGCTGTCTGAAAGAAGTAGCCAGTCAGCTCGTTTTCATTTTCCCACAGAAGTCTGAAATCCAAATGTTAATATAAAAGTCTTTTTCCCTGTCCTGCTCTACCCACCTCTGTGTGTGTGTATGTGTGTGTGTGGCTGGAATATATGCTCAATTTTTTTCAAAATGGGTCTATAGCTTGGTTAATAAATTCTAAGTACTTTGTATTCTGAAGATGTATTTTTTCTTTTCTATTTGGATGTTGATTTTACTATATAAAAGTCTTAGTTCAAACTAATACTTTAGTGTTAAAGTACCATTTTTTTTTTCTCCAGAAGACAGGGGTGTGGGAGGGACAGAGAGGGAGAGAATCTTAAGCACACTCCATGCCCAGTGTGGAGTCTGACATGAAGCTCCATCTCACAATCCTGAGATCATGACCTGAGCTGAAATCCAGAGTCCAATGCTTAACCAACAGCCTCCTAGGGGCCCCTGAGTCCCATTCTTTAAAAAATAAGCTGGGGTTTTCCCCTCTCTAGGAAATGTTTGGGTTTTCTCTTTGTGGCTTTAAAATATCACTATTTGGGACTCCTGTGTGGCTCAGCAGTTGAGCATCTGTCTTCAGCTCAGGGCGTGATCCTGGGATCCGGGATCAAGTCCAGCATCTGGCTCCCTGCGAGGAGCCTGCTTTTCCCTCTGCCTGTGTCTTTGCCACTCTCTCTTTCTCTCATGAATAAATAAATAATAAAATCTTCATATACATATGAAGTGGTATATATATATATATATATATAATATCCACTACTTATGTTGAGGATTAATTTGAAAATTATGTTCTGCAATTGAGGGATCCTTTCAACCAGAAGCAATACAGTTCTCTGGAAGAATTTTCTCTATTTTAATAGTTCTTCCTCTTTTCTAAAAAAGATTTTATTATTCATTCATGAGACACACACAGAAAGAGACAGAGACATAGGCAGAGGGAGAAGCAGGCTCCCTATAGGGAGCCCAATCTTGATTCCAGGACCCGGGGATCACGACCTGAGCCAAAGGCAGACACTCAACCACTGAGCCAACCAGGTGTCCCCAATCTTTTTTTCTTCATCTGGAATTTAATTGGCCTGATACTGAACTTCTGAATCTATTATCCATACTTAAAAAAAAAAAAAACTTTTGGACTCTATTCTTTTGTACTGAATTCTGGATATATTCCTTAGCTTAATATTCCAACTCAGATTTGATCTCCAACTGTGTTCTTTTACTCACCCCAACTTTTGTCCTTTGGTGTTGGATTATTTTTCTTCCCTTTTAAAGTTCCAAATTTTCTTTCTCATAGTACAGTTGTCCCCTCTTACCATCAGGGAACACATTCCAAGATCCCCTCCGCAAATGGATGACTGAAACCACACCAAACCTTATATATACTATGTTTTTTTCTATACATACATACCTATGATAAAGTTTAACTTATAAATTAGGCACAGTAAGAGATTAATAATACTAGAATTATATCAATACATTAAATAAAAGTTATGTGAACATGGTCTCTCAAAATATCTTTACTGTACTCACCCTTCTTGTGATGCTGTGAGAGAAAATGTCTACATGATGGTGTGAAATGATTTGGATGACTAGGCATTTTCGCAGTATGTTAGGCTATTGACCTTCTGAGGATTCATCGGGAAGAATGCTTCTGGTCAGCAGGCTGACCACAGGTGACTGAAATCAGGGAAACCAAAACCAAAACCACAGATGAGATCAGTGTACCTCCACCCTTTTTGAAAAAAATGGGATGCCATAGCTTCTCAAAACAAAGTTTTCATTTGTTTCCTCCATTAAGTTTGATTCCTCAAGTGTTAGTTCTTGGTTAATTTCTTTTATGGTGCTAATATTCTTCACATTAGTGTTCATATGCCCACTATTTTTTTATATGCCTCTTATTTTTTTTAAAAAAATATTTTATTTATGAGAGACAGAGACACAGGCAGAGGAAGGAACAGGCTCCATGCAGGGAGCCTGATGTGGGACTAGATCCCAGGTCTCCAGGATCGTGCCCTGGGCCAAAGGCAGGCGCCAAACCACTGAGCCACCCAGGGATCCCCTGCCTGTTAGTATTTATTATTGAGAATCACATTTTGCCTTTCTGTGAAGCTAGTACTTGAAGACCTGTCTCTGGGGATTGTGGAAGAGGGGGACATGTGGCAGCACAGGTATAGAAGTAGTTTTTCTTCTAGGTGAGGTGGCTCGTGTTCCTTCTGAGCTTTCAGAGTCATGTTCAGGGCTGGATCCCAGAGGTAAATATCAGAATAAACTAATCCATTTTCTGTTTTCCTTGTGGTAATCTGGGTTTACTTTAGGATCTGCTTGCTTTCCTCACTAGCCCCTGGATTCCATCCAGGACTCACCCAGGGCAAACTGTGAACTTTGTTTGGAAAACTGTTAGTACGGTTATCAGCTTACTATACTAGGACAGGCCTACCCTGCTATTCCAAATGTTGCCCTCTAATTTAATGACCCTAAAAACAAAAACCAAAAAACCCACTATAATAGCCCTGCTCTTTCTAGTGAAAATAAAATAACAAGGACAGGATTTATACTACCATCTTAGATGGCTAGAAAACCAGCTCAAATATTTGGAAGAAAGGACTTCAGGCAATGGACCATAGGGAGACCATACTCATCATCTCCAAGACTAGGGAAACAATGCACCCTACAATTGTACCAAATCACGGTCTACAGGCTATAGTGCAAAGGCAGCGATGGGGAAGGGGGAGGAGGCAGGTCCCCAAAAGAGCGCTGCAGTGTTACTGAGCTGAAGAGATGAAAATTAGTGTTTATTTTTATTAGCCCAGGGCCAATGTGGAGGTAGAGAACAGAAGAACCCCTTCTAATCTTTGGCTGAATACTAACAGGCACATGAATGAGAAAAATTTGAGAAAGAGACACAAGGAAAAACAGGGAAGAAAATTATTGGCGGTTACACAGGATTAGGAATAGCACCTGTTCCTGATTAAAAAAAAAAAAAGATCTGGTAGTAATACATGGAGCATTAGGTAGATTCCTCAATAGGGCAGAGGAAAAATCTTCCAAGATTAAAGACTGCTTTGGACTGAGCTTTAATGAAAGGATTTAGCTTGAAAGGATTCATTGATTCCAAGTAAATAATAGACAAAACAATCCCTAAGGTTGCACAGGGCTTCGAATAATTCCTGTCCCCACCAGCCAGAGTAGAAATGGCATGAAATCAAAATTCAATATTATTTAAAAGAATATTTTAAAAACTTCAGCAACCTAAAACTGCAATTTATAGTGATTAGTACCCAATCAAATTACTGGGCATATATAAAAGTAGGAACAGACAATCCAGGTGAAAGTACAACAGAAACAGACCCAATAGTCCCAATATCAAGATAAAAACCTTCAAGATGGTAGAGAACATTGTAACCATAGTGAAAAGAGGAATGAAAGATATAAAGAAAAAAAATGAAAGCTAGTATTTCTGAGATTTAAAAAAAAATACTGTAATACTGTATGGGATTGAAAGCAGAATAGACACTCCAAAAAAAAAAAAAAAAAAAAAGACAATGCTCCAGGAACCCCTAGGTGGCTCAGCAGTTGAGTACCTGCTTTTGGCTCACAGCGTGATCCCAGGGTCCGGGATCGAGTCCCACAATGGGCTTCTTGTGGGGAGCCCGCCTCTCCTTCTGCCTGTGTCTCTGCCTCTCGCCTCTCTCTCTCTCTGTGTCTCTCATGAATAAATAAAATCTTAAAAAAAAAAAGAAGGGAAATGATACCAGATGGAAAAATGTTGAGTCAATG